AGACAGATGACAACGGTGGGAGCAGGGAACGTGTCCATGCAAAGGGAAAGGTGCCTGTAGGCCTGCAGGGTGGGGCTGCACGTTTGGGTTCACCCAATAGGGCTGTGTGTGTGTGTGTGTGTGTGTGTGTGTGTGTGTTAGAGGTGGGAAGAGGATCGGCAAGAGGTGTAACTAGAGAATGGAAGCTGGCCTCCCAAGCTTCCACGTCGGACTTAGTGCAGAAAGTGTGGCGAGCCATTGGAAACTTCTAGGCAGAGAAGTGACGTGCTTAGGTTTGTGCTTCATAAAAGCAATCAGTGCAGAGGCTGCAGTGTAGAGGATGAGAGGAGGGGGGTACCTGTTAAAGGCAGAGAGATTAACTACTTTTGACAATGTGAAGTGTTTCTGTAAGTTCACTTCTCTTGGGTTTGGCCATAATGGAAAGACAGAGAACCATGTTGGAGCCAAATTTCTATCCATAAAGTCCACTTCTTCTATTGTCCAGGTAACAGACTAACAAGCCCCTGGCTTCGTCTTCTGTGCTGGGGCACAGCGTGGTGCAGAACCTGGAGCACAGGATTTCTCTGCCCGGGGAAGGCAGAGAGGCCCCAGAGGTGTAATCGAGGAGCGCTGGCCGTGGGAAGACTTTGATTCTACAGTCTGGCCTTGATGTGGACAAATCACTTCTATCTCGGTATCAGTTCTCACACCCCAAAGTGAGGACATTGAACTCCATTGTTCCTTAAGTCCTTCCCGGCTCTGAAACCAGTAACACAATAGTTTGGTGAGCTGATGTGAAAATCATACAGGCCTCAGTTTGAATTGTCTCTGCCATTTCTGGCTGCATGACCCTGAATAAATTACTTAAACACTCTACGGCTAAATTTAAAATGGGGACAATAAAACCTCTTGCAAGGTTTTGTGGGGATTACCTACTTACTGTATGTAAGCATTTAGCACTGCACGTACCTTTAAATGGATGGATGCTATTCTTACAAAATAGCTTCAAAATGGAAAATGGCTAACCTGGAGAGACCATGAAATAAGGAAACTCACCCTTCAATCACACAATGTCAAGGAACTAGACAACCGACTGTTTTACAGTGTTTACAAATTCAGCCTTTTGTGCAATCTTTTCTGATTTTGTTAAACCAGGTAGCATTACAGGCTGAGCCTATTGTGCGCATACGCTGTGACAGAGTACCCCCTAGTGGCTTTAGAGAGTAGCACCATCATTAAGATGGTTGAACAAACGTAGCTTTGTGGATTTATAAGCAAACAGCAAGGATTTGGAGGTTTGTTAATCTTAGATAAAGCTAATAAAGCTAATCTTAGATAAAGCTAGTAAAGTGCCATTAATTACATCACTTCTAATAGTAATTCCTTAGTCAACTTTTTCATAAGTCATGCTCTGGGCATTTATTAGATCTTGCAGTTCCAAAAGACAAAATTACATTTTAAATGAAAACATAAATTAAATCAAACATTTGAATTGCACATAAAACCCCCAGATTAGTTCTTTACTTGGTAAAACTGAAAATAAATTGGAATCACTCAAAAGGATGGTGCAGTAGCAGGGCTGGATGGTTTTGAGGTTACCTTGCTCCAGATTTGGCTGAGTGGAACGGGCAAGGTGCTTATTTCTATGGGACCTCAGTTTCCTCACATTAGAATATAGGACTCGAAGCCAAGGTCCTTTCCAGCTCTGAGGTTCTTTGATTTGATGGGGGGAAATTATCCTCTTTTGTTTTTTAATTTAGGGCTCTGCCTTCAAAGAAACTTGATGCCAACTTTTCATTATAAACTTGGGGTCTCAAGAACAGAAATTTAAAGCCCATTTGAAGATGAGTTTATAACATTTTACAAAACCAGCCCTAGCTAGCTATAACAGAGAAGGCTAGTTACTAACAAGGTTCAAGTTCTCCTTCCACAGTGTTTTGCAGAGAAGCAACTGCCCAGTTAGGATTCCATTTAACAGCCCCTCTTTGCATATGCGCGGAATCATATGGCTAGTTCTTGACAAAGGGCTAAGAGCAAAAATGATGTATTACTTCTAAGTCAAGATGGTGAAATATCAAGTGCGTGATCCTCCATTCTTTCTCCTTCGCCTTGTCCTCACAAGGGTGACACTTGGGCTACTTGGAGTCACAAGATGGCAAAGCCACATGTGAGAGGAACCTGGGTATCTGCATTACTTATTGGAGACTGACTGCCCAGGACAGCCACTGTATCAGAACACCTGCAGTGGACTTTGTGTGAGTGAGAACTTTCACTGTGTTAAAGAACTAAGAATTAGGGATGGTTTGTTATAGCAGCTAGCTTTAATTATGCTGACATACGAACTCCATAATGCTGGGATCCAATTTGAGGCATTGCATAAAAGCAAACTAATCTCATAAAAGCAAATCTTCATTCCCCCCCGAGGGTGGGTATGGGTGGGAGTAAGATTAGCCTACTCATTATATCTTATGATTACAAAAATAGTTGTTGTGGAAAAGGTCTTACCAAAATTTCCTTTAAACTATTAAATTCTGTTATATAAATAGAGTCTAATGTAGACAATCTTCTGGCTATTAAGGGGTATAAATGCCATAATTATTACTGAGCCACGTTTACCAGATAGTTTGGAACAATAGAAAGCTCGGTGATCACTGGTGCAGATAGATAAAATAAACTAAGCATTTAACTTGCTTTCTGAAACTCTAATTCTTCTACATTTTGAGGTGACCTTGTTAACGGGGGAAAGTGCAGGAGGAGCCATTGATTATATCCAGTAACAGATATTTGTTACCAATAAGAAACTGTTTTTGAGCCCTGGCCAGGTGGCTCAGTTGGTTAGAGCATTGTCTCATGCACTGAAAGGCTGCAGGTTTGATCCCATCAGGGCACACACCTAGGTTGTGGGTTTGATACCTGGTCAGGACCAGTCCAGGAGGCAACCAACCAGTTTCTCTTCCACTGATGTTTCTCTCTCTTTCTCTCTCTGTAATCAATAAACATATCCTCAGTGAGAATTAAAACAAAAAAATTTTCATTGATTTTGATTGCAGGAAAAAGATGAAAGATGAAAGTTTTGTTATTTAGCTGTATCTGCAAACACTGACATTATTTTCAGCTAGCATTGTACAGGAAGATAACTGAGAATCAGTGATGCAGAAACACATCAGCAACACTAAGAAAAATCCATTACAGTCAAAACAGGACTGTGAGACAATGCTGGTCTGGAGCCACAGGCAGAGTATGATGCTGGCTACAGCCAGAAAATTATAGCAAATGCTTCATTAGCAAGAACCCGTAACAGCTGTATAGAGAAACAAACGTCCAATGAAATAAATCCTTGTAGAATTAGAATTCCTAGGGTTTCATTGTACTTTGTCACCTAAATCATCATTTAGGAGCTTGAGTTCAAATTGGTTCTGTAAACAAGATATATATGGCTGTATTACTGAGAAAAATTTACTTATACTGAAAAATGTTCTGCAGATATCAACCAAATTAAAAGGGTACATAGATCTTGATCTAGCAACTAAGCTCCTAGTAATCTATTCAGAGAAATAGCAGCAGTGCACAAAAACAGGTCAATTTTGCATAGAAAAATGAGAACCTAAAGGTCAACAATTTAAAACTGATCAATTGTGCAAATCTGTATTACAGAATGTGCTAGGTACCTCTCGCAAAGAATACATGTTTATATGCTGCTATGAAGTCCTCACCGAAGACAGAAATTAGATATATACATGTGTGTATATATACACACGCACAGTCTGGAAAAAGTCCAGCCATTGTTAACATGAGAACAATTTGCATATCGACGTAACCTGGCAGTCAACATTGGACTGGAATGCGCACGCATGAACAATGACTTCACTATGCTAGTCGTGAGGATGGTAGATGCCATTGAGTGAGCACGTGTACTGTGTGGCTGTTGCATTCAAAATGGCTGAGTACAGAAACAAATCTGCATCAAATTCTACATTAAGCTCGAATGTTCCTGCACAGTAACCATTCAGTGATTAAGAAGGCCATAGCTATGGGCAACTGGTGATTGGCAGCTTCATCACAACGCACCTGCTCATGCATCACATCTCGTCCAGTTTTCTAGCAAAACATCAAATCACCCAGGTGACCCAGCCCCACTACAGTCCAGATTTGGTGCCTGCAACTTCTGGCTTTTCCAAAAACTAAAATCACCTTAGAAAGAGAAGGTATTTCAGAACTTTGATAAGATTCAGGAAAATACGAGGCAGCTGATGGTGACTGGGATAAGGTGTGAGGTCCCAAGGTGCCTACTCTGAAGGGGACTGAGGTGCCATTGTCCTATGTACAATGTTTCTTGTACCTTCTTCAATAAATGTCTATTTTTCACAGCACATGGCTGGATACTTTACACATGGACCTTGTGTTTGTGTGTAACGACCCTCTATTTAAAGACGAATGAGTTAATTCTAAGGTGAGATTTTTCTCTTTGTACCTTCTGTGTCTTTAGTTGAGTAAATGTGAATTATCTTCATAACTAGCATCTTCACATAGTCTGTCTACCCTCTGTCCCCAAACTCGATTTCTCACTCTTTACCTCCAGGGCCTCAGTGCTGGGTCACTTCTTTCTGGAACACCTTCCCCCACATGTCATCTACCCAAACCCTTCCAGGCTATTTAAAGGTGATCTCTTCCAAGAAATGGTATCAGTATCAATGCTCCCATTTTGGAGAATTACTTCTCATTTGTCTAAACACCTATTATCGTTGAACTCTCTTACAGGCATTTGTAATCAATTCCAATTTGTGTCTTGGAGTCTTAGCTATCTATGTGAAGTTTTGTGTGTCTCCCACTTACTACGTAACAGGCTTCTCATGAGAAGAAACCAAGATTCATGCATCACTGTGTCCCCTGCAATGCTCACATAACAGACGCTCAAGCAAAGTACGCTGAAGTAATGGGACATTTCTGCCATTCAGTGTATGCTAATAAGTTAGAAAGAGACGAACTTATTTACCACTTTATTTTCAAAACTTTATATAGAATCTTCAGAATGTTTCCTTTAATTTTTATTAGATAAATCTCAAAGTTTAAAATCATATATTTTATAATATGTCATAGTTTAGTATAGGGAGGAGAGTTCAATCATTTTGAGAAAAGGCTTTCATAATTGTATAAACACTAATATTCATAATATTCCTTAATACAGATATAGACAACATGGCATCATGTTGAAATGTACAAAATAGCTTAAATCATATTTTGTTACAGAACATATTAAAAAAATTCAAACTAATAAAAGAAATCTACGTACACTGTAACATTTAGGGAAACCAGCAACGGGTTTATCAATAATCACAGTAAACTTATACAAAATATACAATTTACATGTCAATTCATAAATTTAAGATATATGTAAGTAATCTACTTAAATCATGCTAGAATCTGTTATTTTATAATAGGTTGAAACAAATACTCTGTTGTACCCCGTGAAACAGGAATACTCTGTTGTACCCCGTGAAACAGGAATACAAACTATGAAATCATATTTAATATCCTTCTTAATTCATAATAGACTAACTTTAGAAAACCTCAAAGATAGCAAATCAGGCATCTCCCCCTGAAATTACAGTCCTTTTGAATGCATTCATAAATATAGTCAAAGGAAGAAAATAAAAACAAAAAGATACCAAGAGTTAATTAGTTGGGGGTGGGAGGAACCAGACTTGTCTGTTTTGTTCTGGAAAGAATTTAAGGTGACTTAAAAGATTAGAAAAATATCAGAAAGCAAAAATTACAGTTTAAATGAGAGAGGGGTGAAAGAGAGAGAGAATGGTTTGGAGAAACAGCATACATAAAAACCATTTAAGAAAAGGTTTTAAATTCCTAAGAAAAGGAAGTATGTTACATTATTCTTCACAGTGACTTTCTGGAAATACTGCAAAATCTGATATTAATTTGTAAGAAAATTATTAAACTCCTGGTAAACTGGAGAGCAGATCAAATTTGTCAAATTTGTACAATATTGACCCCAATGAAAGGAATTATAAAAATGTGTGTGCTTTTCTTCTTTGTGCTTGAGTGCACTGAGTTTTCCTTACTGTCCTAGTGTGACTCGAGTTAGTCTCTAGCCATTGGCAGAAGTGGAAATAAAAAATGAAAACAACAAAATTTGGGTATCCTGACTTAACTCCTACTGAGAAATCCATCAGCTGGACATCTGCCAACGACCTGAGGACAGGGAGCTACATTTCGGTGTTCAGGTACCTGTCCTATGGCTCTTCCATAGGTGCAGGGCAAAGCATCAACCCTAGGGTATCCTGACTATCAGTTCCTTCAGGTCCTACAGCTCACCTTGTTAGGAGCCAGCAAGACACACAGGAAGCTGCTCAGGTTGGCACGTTGAAGCCAGTCTCTCCTGCTGCCCAGAGAGCGATTGAGGTTCTGATCCCGCTTACAGTCTACACACCACAGACCTCACCCCACTCCTGTGAGGAGGAAAATTATGGAGAAGGGTAGGACAGCATTAATCAGCTTCTGGGAAATATGAATGGGTGTGTTCATCTCTCTTCTTCAGGCCCCACTTTCAACGAGTGACAGAATGAATGACCTCAGGAAGCAAAGCACGTGGAGATGAAAAAAGGGCTTGAGGGAAATGAAGGGAGAAAAAATGGTAGGATATGTGGATGAGTTCTGAAACTACAGACTAAGGATCAGAACACAATGTTCAGTCTACCTGAAAATTAAAACTAACTGCTGCTGCCTATCTCTTTGAGGACGAATGGTCCCAGCAGTACTGCTAAGTTTAAGAACTATGTTCACGTCTAAAGACTGAAAGCTGCGGTCTCACGTTTTTGGCTGGGGTGACAAAGCTCCACTATGGTTTATGACGTGGGTTTTGCAGAGGATGGACAGCCTTTGGGGCCAGTTCATCTAATTAGGCACCATGCCTCAGGCCCATGAAAATGCTTTAATTTCCTTGAAATTCAGGGGGAAAAAAAACCCTTTTAGATCGAAGGACATATTTATAGACAACCCTATATTCACTTTATACAAGTGCAATGATAATGCATTGATTTTTAATAGAAGAAGAGGTCCAAGAGGACAAGCGTCTAGCGCCCTAACCATCATAATGCAGCTGTGAACACAGGGCCAAGGGCAGCGGCCAGGGCAATGGAACAGAGAGGAGAGCCTGATTTTGCTGATCCTGTTCCACCGATTTTTCCAGTTTGAATGTTACCTTAGGATTAGATTTCCCCATCTCCAGCACTGTAAACAGCACTAGAGGCCGGTTTCCCTCTGTGACCCTGCCTCCTGAACTGCCTGCACCACGGGGCCATTCTGTTTTAGACTTCCTAGGAAACACACTTCAACTCCCCTCAGTAGCCCAGGGTTGGCGGTGACAGAAATGTGGGCGCCTGCAGTTGCAAAACTGTTTAATATGCTAAGAGAAAAAAAGGAAGCAGAGAGAGTGAACGAGGAGGGGAGCAGGTATCACAGCTTTTAATGTCCTACACTCACATGGGGGACATTTCTACTAAAATGTTAGCCCTGGTTTTCTAGATAGTAGGATTAAGATATTTTTATGCTTCTGTTTGTAAAAAACATTTTAGTTTAAAAATTGTGCTTTTAAAGCTTTAAATTGAGGATTGCCATTTTTGAGCTCCTCAGAGTATGGTTCTTAGTAAATCCAGTTAACCACTGGCATGTGGGGGACTCAGGTTTAAGAACAGAACTTCTAACAATTTCCACTATTTTTCATCACTCAAATTTATCAGTATCATAGGAAAATTTCATCACAAAAGCTAGTTAATAACATTTTCTAGGATCAATTCCCAATGTATAATGAGGAAAATAAGTTAAAAGAAACAGTACAAATAAATGAATTACTACCTTTTATAGAATCAGAGATATTCTGCCCTTGGAAAGAAATAACTATACACAAAATTTAGACCTGAATTACAGATGAAGAGCCTGAAGTCAACAGGTTATATGGTTTTTTATCACTGTAACACAGCAAAGCTGGTAACAGAACTGGTAAGAACTCTCAGGTTTCCTGATTTTTGGTCTAGAGCTCTCATACCCCTGGTCCCACAAGTAACTGCTTTATAAGTTATGTTACATTTTTTATCCTAAATGCTTATAGAGAAATGGAAAACACTACCAGTTTTCTTTAAAAACATTTGCTAATTTGGGAACTGTACCATCTCAAAATAAAAAGTTCCAGGTGAGTGGCCCAACAATTAGAATACAGTGTACGAATTCAGACCTAGAAGGATGCTAGAGAGACAACTGAAACCCCAGAGACACAAGATTTGGGTCCGAAAAAGGTAAGCTTATCCCCCAAAGTCACATGGTTGAGTCCAGACCCAGGTCATTTAAAACTGGTTCACTGAGCCTTCTAATACTGCCGTATTCTCCCTTGGCTATTAATTAAACAAAAAAGGTAAAAATACAGAATACCCAGATTAAACCTGTTATTAATAAGAATGCTTGGAGAATGGGTATAAATGAATTCAATGGTTAATAAACTACAATCTATTAGGATAAATCAGGCAGCATAATTGTTTTATTTGACAATGTACCTAAATGTAATAAATCACAAATTTGAGTTTTGTTGTTTGAAAACGATGAAATATCTTTGAATGTCTCAGGCTCATGCATCTGAAGAGAAATTCTAATTATTTACAGTTCTCTAGAACAGGGGGTTGGAGGATAGCGGCCAGCAATGTGTTTTGTGAGGCTTATAAGTTAAGAATGGTTAAAATTTTAAAGGGTTGTAAAAAATATGAAACCCGTCTGATAGAGACAGTGTGTGTCCTGCAGAGTCAAAGTTACTGACTAGCTGCCCCTTTACAGTTTGCAGACTTCTGTTCTAGATTTAGAAAGTATACAAAACTGGGCTGCATATGCGTATGTTGTGGAAGGCTTTTTTGTTTTTAAAGTTAAATCTCCGATTTATTTAAGCTTTACTACAATTTGCCTCTTTCTACTGATAGCAGGTAGTAGGAAAAAACCTAGTCTGAGGGTGCTGATGACCTGTGTGGCAGTTAAGTGAGGTTTTATCATCTGCACACTCAAGTAAAGGGGCAGACTGCTGAAACTAATTATTTTATGCATCTGAAATCCATACAAAATGTTTTAGATAGCTGAAAAAATCACATATCCTGTAGTATTGTTGCTCTGAAATAAAATGGAAGCAAATATCTATGATTAAAAATCAGCAGTTTGACTCTCTCATTTGGGTGGGTCTCTTCGGTTTTTAAGGTTCTTCTCCTGATGCCTCCCCTGCCTCACACAGCATGTTGTTAATTTACTAAATCAGTAGTTTTCTGCCATGTTAATTACCTCAGTGACCACCCACCCATTTCTCATTTGCAACAATAAACACATCTCACCAAAACACATGGAAAGGACGGAAGTGCTCTTAATGAGACATGAGATAAAAAAAAGGGAATGAGCAGTTGGGGGAGAACTAAAAATCAGAGACAGATCTCACTCACCAACCTGCAGACAACAGTAAGTGGGCAGTCCTTCGGCGCCTGCTGCGCCGCCCACTGGCCACTGCTCGCAGGACTGGGGCCCCACAGCTCACCCCAGTGCCCTCGGCACCCTGGTAAGTGCTACGTGCAACAAGTTCCTTCCTCTTTTTTGCCACATGGTTTATGTGGCAAAGTTCAGATTTTGTGAATTAGAGAAAAAACATCAAAGCTGTGCTACTGCTAAGAGATTACAATAGTTTCAAGGTTATATAGGACAGTAGGATCTATTGTGTCAAGATTAAAATGTCACTTTGAAATCACTACAGCAACAATTCCTTCGAACCCACAGCACAGTTCTCTTCAGCTACTCCGTTCCCCTGCTTGCTTTTATAACTGGAAAGAAATAAATTTTCTATTTGAGTCAAGAATTCTTCAGCAATGAAGCGATTTGTCACTTTGCTTAGAGTTTTCCTCAGACACTCCAAAAGCTAGATGAAAAGAAAAGTTTTATATTTAACACATGAAAAGTACAAGAAGGCTTATATCACTACCCTTATTTAATAATAAATCTCACATTTTCCTAGTGCTCAAATGAGAAACATTCTCCTTTAAATACGGTTGAGGATAAACTTGCATGCAATAACTGTATAGCTGGAGTACAGGAAGCCACTGCTGAATGCTTAGGTTAGTTCCTTTACGATTATGTAAGGAAACAAACCTGAGATTGTATAGCATGCAATGCTTTCTACTTGGGACAAATCTGTGACTATACCCCTTTTTTTTAGTAGTTACATTTACAAAAGATTTCGTAGAATAAAAAAAAATCTATGTACAAAAAAAAATCTATGTGCATATAAACACAGGACTCTACCATTTCAAAATTAGGATGCTAGAGTCTATTTATTTCCTGGGAAATGTGCATGTTAATCTTCTAACCAAACAAAGATAAAGTGGCTATAATAGAAGGGGGTGAAATATTTTTTAAATTTATTTTAGAAACTTAGTATGTTTATACTTTCTCTTTCCAAACTGCTACGGGGGTGGGGGTGGGGGGGGAATGTTGCCAACCTAGTGGTCTTAACTCATTACACTCATAAACAAAACTAGAACTGAAATAAAAGAATTCAGGAGTCTTATTTCCTACCAGAAAGTAAGGTGATCATTTAAATTTAATTGTTAGATTTATAATACCCTTCTTAAAAATGACCAATTGTTAAAGCTAAATGGAAACATGGCACTTTTGAGTTTAGTAAAATGAGAAAAATGTTCTCCATTGTGTACAATAATAATCTGCTAAGAAATTTATCAGCCAATACTGACAAATTTACTCTAAAATAGCATTATTTCTATATGCAAGTGTAGGCAACGAAACAGATTACTAATTATCTCCTAGAAATTAATTTTAAAAAGAAAAAAGCAATAAAGGAAATAGAAAATGTATCCAAGAAGCATTAGGCATCATGGGAAAACACATAGAGATGAATAGCCTTAGAATCTGTGAACAAAAGAACCAATTAAAATGAAGGCAGCTTACTTTCTGCAAACAAGTCAGGTCAGAATCCCGGCGAAAGATTTTATCCATAGGGACACTGCTGTTGGAGGGAAAGGAAAACAAACTGATGAAACAAATACTACACACTAATCCGTTCTGCAATACACCACCCCGATGCCACATATCACAATTTTGTATTTAACTTGGGTTTTCTCTAAAACATAATTGAATGAGAAGCGCTGCAGATGTGCAACCATCTCAAGCCACAGCACATACCTACGGGAGAGCCTGTATTTTTCTATTATCCATCTTGTCTTTTCAAACACTAATCCCCACTGAGGTTCTTCTAACATCTGTTGTACTTCAAATTTGTAAGGTAAACCTAGAAAAGCATAGAGAAGCATACTGTCATTGACTATTTCTTAAATCTAATCTCCTTTTAACTACTTAAAATTCCCTTCACTCTTTCCACAACCACTACTCGGCAGACCAGCTGAACAGCACTTTAACATAATGGAAGTTAATTAAATATTTATTACCTGACTCAACTTGGTCCACCAAGCATATTAATGCCAAGCAATTAATAATAACAATAAACAAAAGTGAAAGTGTCGTTTGTGTGACAATTCTATACAAGAAGCTGTGGGAGGTAAAATGATCACATAATTTACTATCCGAACTAAGAGACCTTTTGAGTAAATGGGGGCACTATTCATAATTGAGAAAGAACGACAGGCTTAAACTGAGACTGACCCAATCAAACCAAGACGTATTCCATACTAGCGGTTTTTAAAAACAGGGGTTACTAAGGTTTACAATGATGTTGTAAGGCAGGCAGCATCATTCCTATTTAACAGATGTGAGAACTCAGGCTGAAACAGGTTGAACAGGCATACATATGGCTTGTAGCTACTGTACTGAACAGCATCCGAGTTCGTGCCCATAATTTAGCAGATTAGAAAATTATATTTAAATTGGGAACAAGTGAATTGTGGTTCCTTCTTCTGTAACTTTTCTGTAAAATTATACTTGTTAAAGAACAATGAATGTATGTGCCATGAGCATTTTGAACTCAAGTTAATGGCAGTAGTATTCATTCAACAAAAATCTACAGAGTGGAGATCATTTCCTAGGTGGAAGGCAATTAATTAAGTGCTTCTAAAGACACACTGACAAAGAAGACAGTCTCTGCTCTTTGGGGTGCACAGTTTAGTGAGACGTGCCAAACAGATAAATGCCCATTTACCACAACAAATTACCAGGACAAAGTGGCCATGACCAGAAGGAAGTGCAGTAGATACAACAAGAACAGAGCAACTGATAGTAAATGACAGAGGTAGTGCTGGAAAATCTTTATCAAAGAGAGGGCACCTGAGTGACATCATTAAAAATACAGAGAAATTAATTTAATGAACGTTCACTAGGCACCTACTTTATGCCAGGCTTGTGCTAGAATGTGAGGATAGAAAAATGAGTATCCTGTAATACCACCTACTGTCGAGGGGCGCATGAGGGAAAGGGGAAGAGCACAAATGTGCAGTGAATAACAGCATACAGAGAGACCGGTAAACCAGAGCAGTGGTAGAAAGGCTGAAGTAGAGAGAACAAACACCCTAGAGACACCAACTGTTTCTCTAATCACTTCCCTTCCATCCACTCTTCCATTTCTAGGCTGCTAATTCCCAGCCAGAGTTGACTGGACTGCAAGTAGACATAAATCCCAAAGGAGCCAAGTCATAGAATGGGCCAAACCAACAAAACTCTTTATGGAATAGATTGGAAGCTAAGAGATAAAAAACAGGCATTGTGAAGCCTAAACTAAGAGGCCATGGAGGGCCTGGTAGTCGGGTGGTCATTTTCTTTTTCTACCTGTATGCCCTCTCAGACAAAGCCAGCCTGCATTTATATTGCTTATTGCAGTGTCTTCAGTACCTCACACACACACTGCTTGGCCACAACCCCTCCCCACACTCTCACTTTTCCAGTGGCCACAGTAACACAGCAGGGACTTGAACCTTGAAGGATATCATAAAAGGGAATGGGGGGAGGTTGCACTGCATGGCATGCAAACAGTGATTCCCCAGTCGAAGCACAAACTCTTCCACAGAATAGTTCTGTAACGTTGTAAATTCTTTGATTTGTAAGATTCCAAGACACGATGACAGAAATGGGGTGAAGTTTTTGTTGGAAACTTACGGTAAGAGCCATCTGGGCTAATTTCATCACTTATAACCAGGCAGGTAATCTGGGAATAAGGTAAAGGATTGTTTCGATTATAGGGACTAATAATCATTCCAATGAACTTTGCGCCACCTCTGGAGAAGTAACTCTGCAATGAAAAGTATAGTATAATTAGTTTCAACAACATAAATTTAAAAGTCAATGTTTATCCCTACTAACATTTTAAACATCTAACGGAGAAAGAAGAAACAGATAGGTATGTTAACTTCACATCCAAATAGCAACTAAATGAAATGTCTTATATATTCATTCCATACTCTAAATTTTTCAGGCCAAAATGTGTTCAACCCAAACTTAAAAGAACAAAAAATCTGTATCTGCTATGAATATATTTACTAATTATATTCAAATCCATCAACTATAATCTTTTTCAATGTTAATTTACAAATAGCTGCCTACAGTAAAAACAGTCACATATCAAACATAAAATTGCAGAATAAAACAAAACCATATTTCTCGCAGATGCAAAATATATCTTATATTTCTGATGATTTAAATTATTCCCAGTCTTTGTCCTAATTGTTCCCATTGATTTTTAAAGGCTCTGGGAACAATTATCACTGTTAGTTTAATGGCTTGTCGGTATGAAATAGGAAGCTGATTTCCAAAGTTTTAAACAAACATGTATTACTCTTGTAATCGGAAAAAATGCAAGTTATTTAAAAAACTCCAGATGTACAGATTATCAGAAATACAACATTTTGATAGAAATGTTCAAAGTACTTTTATGTAATAGAAAGTAATGAGAGGGAGAGAATGTGCAATCATTTACAGAATACATATGCATAAGACCTAGAAACACACCTGGTATTTGGCTTGAGTATCAATATCTCGTAGGGAAGGATTAGGATCAAAGGCAGGATGAGAATGATACCACCCAATGACACTGTAGCCTCTTACAGCCAAGGTTTCCGAGGCCTGTGTTTGGGAGACAGGGTCCATCTCACACTGCAGCCCTGTACTCAGACTGTTACATGGCTCCGCTGCACAGACCTATAAAGGATTGATCCCTATATGATTACACTGAAATTCCATTAATCCTATTACTTTAATGTTTTAGTTCTTTCATATGAACATACAGAAATGTTTTAAAGCCAAGCCTTTTATTTGATTTATATCACAGGGAGCCTTTAACTTGCAAATGAATCAACTCCAAAAGTGTGTGGATCTACTTTGTACTTAAACAAGGTCATAACAATTGCTAATTTTCCAGGTCGGCCCATGTAATACCTGTACAAACATACTCTTTCAATGGCCTCTATTATTTTTGATAATTTCAACAGAATGATGCAAACTCATTTTTCAACTCTAAGGTTAGCACATGCTTCCTGGCCTCACAGGAGTTGTAGTTTTTCACTGGTGAAGACAATGAGGAGCCCGGGCCTGGCAGTGTTCCCCCTTTCTCAGTGGCGAAAGGAAACACGTGTTCAATAAATGGAATGTTAAGTCACTTTTGGGGATATATAACTTTCCACATTTGTGTGTTCTCATTGATACCATAGGTGAAGCCTGTATTTTAATTATACCCACTGATATCTATAAAAACATTTGGTCTGGAAGCAGGACAAAATACTTTTAAAATCTTTAAAATTGAGAACTTACTTCAACTATCTTATCAACTTCTGAATATCTTCCTCCTAACAGACCAATCACTTCTGCCATAGACACATGAGCATGCTGAAAGAAATACAAGACAGACTTAGCCCAAACAAACCACCTGACAAAAAAATCAGAGTAAAACTCACTTATCAAGTCTGGTAATTATGCTTTTTTAATATAAAGTAGCATGCCAGAGGAACTAGATACTAGGCTCAGGGCACAGTCTTAAGATTTCAGATCTATATTCCCTGCTGGCTGCAAAGCTTTGAACCCAGCATTCAAACAATGATGCCACTTCCTCACTTACAAAACAAGGCACCATTTGCTGTCCCTATTCAGGAAAGATATAAAGATCCAAAGTAAAAAAATTACTCTAGAACCTCCTATAGGAAAAGAACATTAAAAAACCACACAACCATGGAGTCCTCAGTAGTTTAGTGCAAATCAGGAAACTCCGAATTAGGAGTTGTGTTTTGTTATCTAGCAGGCAGCAGACAAAGGGTACTAGGAAATAAAAGTAGGGTTAATGATTACAAACAGTCTGCAAAAACTCACATTAATTTATTTGCTCTAAAATAGGAAACATGCAATTGTTTGGCTTTTCTCCAAAAGAAAAGACTTATTTTTAGATTCCTTGTAAAAGAGGATAGTTAAGATCCAAAACACAGGTCTTCCATACTCTCTCTCTTATGCCTGCAATAAAAATACACAAGAATAGAAATCAGAATAACTAAGTAAACACAATAGATTATCCTTACCAAATCCATTATTAAAAGTGCTTCTGAAGCCACTTTCACCTGAAATGGCTCCTGAAATATAAAAAACAAAAAAACAAAAAAAATGGGGGAGCATAAAAATAGAGATTTTGTTCTCCCTAACTGGAATGTCCACCCCCTTTGTCCGTTTACCTATCACACCTATCTCACCACCAACCAAAATTCAGCGAGAATCACATTAAAAAAAATACTGTTTAAAACCCTGGCCTAGAGCAATTCCCTCTCCTTTTCCATCTGTATCGCTCATCTGACTCCTAATATACCCTGTCTTGCCCATTATATTTCACATATAAGTGCCCTGCACATACTGAAAAACAAGAAGTATTTTATGTCTGACAGGAGGGCATTATTTATGGTCATTCAGTGATGCATTAAGTAGTACCTGCTTTTCTTCACTGAAAAAATTACAAGGTATCAGCTGGAAGGGATCAAATGAGCTGAAAAAGAAGAAAATATTTATTTCTAATATAATCTCAACAAGATTAGGAAAATAACATTTATTCACAAATTTAAAAATATGTATCAAAATCTAAACCTACTGTCTGAGAGAAAAATATTAAATGAGGAGAATTTCTTAAAACAGTCACTACAGCTGCTAGAGAGCAGCACTGCTCCTTTGGACTTGGTGTTTTGAAATGGGGCAGGCCCTTGGGGAGAAAGTAATTCTGTTTCTGAATTACTTTTAATACCCAAAGAGGAGAACATTAAAAATGGTCAGACATGTGTCCTACACTGAAAGCAGATTTCAAAAAGTTCAATGAAGATGTAACCAATTCCCTGACATAAGAACTGAAAGAAATGTCAAGAAAGATGGATGATTTTCAAAAATATTTCTGTCAGTACAATAATATGGTCAGCATAGAGTAGTGACTCAATAAATTTGTTGAATGAATAAATGACAAACGGTTCAGCTAAAGAAATTAATGTATATAGAAAATTCTATAATAAAGTCAAATTTTAAAATGAAAAAGTAAAACAAAAATAAAAGAGGGGGGAACGGGACCACCTAAGCAAGTGCTTAGATACCAAAGCACATATAAATAAATCTATGAGAAATGTTAGAAAGACTATGACTAGTAAAGAATTGAGATCTGAGAGATATAGTAAGAATAAAAAGGTTTTTAAGGCTATGTTCAGAGAAAACAAACAAACTTTTGTTGAATAAAGGAGAAAAAATTTTCAAATTGGAAAGTGCTTCACCAATACGAATAAACAGAAACTAAAGGCCAGGATAAATGAGCAAACAGCAAGAGGGCATACGCATCTGAGAGCGCTGAAGAACCGTGACCTGAAACCACTGTCAATGTCATCTGAGGAGCTGCAGAGAGTGGAAAAATGACAGGAGGCCTTGGCATAGGCAACTACTGGGCTTGTTTTCAAACACAATATAAACAGATTTTAGAAACAGAGGAAGCATATGTTGTATATAGAAAAATTCTAGGTTAAGATTCTAAAATAGCTGATTAGTAAGCTTTTAGCAAGTGAAGAGGTGACTACTAAGAATAATAATGGCTTCATTTAAGTATGAGCTACCTGTTCATAGTGCCTGAGTTGTATTAAATGACCATTTGTCATAAATGAGGCCACTGTGCAACAAAGCTTAGTTCCTATATTCACTGAACCTGAAAAAATTTAAAACTTGTGCTCACGATATTCCAAATTCACAATCAGTGAAATAAAAAAATTTCAAAATTTTTACCTGTATTTTTAAACTTAATGTGAACATTATAATGCAAGCTATTTCAAATATTTTCCCAACATTTTCTAATCACTTATAAGTTAAGAATTACATTTATATAATGTTAATTATACCTTTTTGTTGGTCTTTGCACTTTTGAAGATTTAATAGTTTTGCATTTTTCCTCTTCTCTTCTTTGTGCCAACTCCTCAGCAGAGAGATGCTAAAATATAAAACACCAGTTCATCAAAAGTTCATCAACCAACCACTAATAAGTAGAATTAATAAATATACTCCTTTAAACCACATTTGAGGGCCTGTGAGAACAAGATGAGGTTGACAGGTATACCTGCACCTGCAGACACTGCTGGTGACTAGGACTTGGCGATGGGCGCTTGCTCCGCCCAACTCTATGTATATAACCTCTCTCTGTGTTTTGCTTGTGACTCCATTGGCTTATTGGGGAGGTCTCCCCTAATAAACCTGGCATTGTGGAAAGACACAAATATGCAAGAGTGGCTCCTTTTGGGGATGCTCCCCTGCTCATGACACCATTCCACTATACTAGTCGTTCACAAACAAGTTATATATGTAGAATGCATGTGGGTATATGTGTTACACACACATTCACTGCCTATTTTTTTTTTAGGACCACAGTTTTTATTTGTGAAAATAATACTTCAATATTTGTATTATGTCTAATGCTTGGGACAATATCTTAATTGGCATATCAGAATGTCATTCAACAATGCTTACTGAAATGAACTGGGCATAACGACTTCCTAGTACCCTTGAAGATATTCTTGAGGGAGAGAACAGAATTTAGAAACAGATAATCAAAATTCTGAAAATGAGGCAACTAGGAGTTCTGAAAACTCCTGGTTAACTGAACCACCAATGTCTTCTACTTGGCTGTTAATCAATGACTTCTGGACAAAACAATTAATATGGAAATGAGAGACATATATGTATACATGTTCAAAAAGTATAATATTTGTGACATTAAGTTATACAAATACGTACTGACAAAACAACTTTCACTAATGAGCCATTTAAGAAGGTCAAAGTTACCTCAAATGTCTGTCCTTCTAAGTCTTTTGCATCACACCAATTTCCCCATGGGTCTCGGACCCTACGTCTCCTCGTGCGCTGTGATGAGATGAAAATAAAGCAGAAGTAATGATATTAACTTAGACAAATCACAACACATTAATATACAAAGTCAAAATGATAACTTTCTAAAAAACAACTTCTCCATTTAAATAATGTTAATATCTGATCAGCAGTGTCTGACTAAATTTTATTTCATTAATTTACGTTCAATAGCTAGCACTCTGCTCAGAAAAAAATCAGTGATTTTTTTTTCAGTATTCCACTTGGGTATCTTCAATTTTTCATTTCTTTTCTTTTTTTAAGACCAAAAAGAGCCACCAAGAAAATGACTTCCTATTCATTAACTTGTGGTAGAAAACTCGAAAGAATACACAGCAAGAGGTAAACTATTGACAACTGGAAGCAAAGTAGTTACATCTCAGCCTTGGAAAGGAAAAGATTGCTTAGTTAACACAAACAGTAAAAAATTACAAAGCTGGATAACAGCATACTAACATCCAGTTTTGCAAACCTCAGGTCTGAGCCCTTAAATGGACTAGCTGTCAGAGGCCACTGACTAGTACCATCTTCACCAACTATATTTGAAAACACCCCTTCTTAGAGCACATCTAGCAAAAAGTACAAATACCTAGTTACAGAATAGCCGCAGGGATGTAAAGTACAGTGTAGGAAAGGGAGCAGCCAAAGAACTTTACACCCATGACACCTGCATATGAACAAAGGTGGGGGGACTGTCTGAGGGAGTGGGGGGACTGCCTGAGGGGATGGGGGTGCTGGGTGCAGGGGGCAAGTCAGGACAACTGAAATGGCATAATCAATAAAATATAATTTTAAAAAAGCATATCTAGGCAGAGATGGCCTACAGCCCAAATTCTCTGAGAAAGATACCCATTCCATCACCTACATTTTATCCCACCTATTACCAATATAAGCTATTTTACTGGTTCACAGCATGACTCTGCCTTTTAGGAGACTTGCTGGATCACTTTAAAAAATAAGAGTCATGAAATTTAAACTATTATAAAACTGACTAACCTCAAGAATTAAAAAAATAAAGGCTAAAATATTTTGGATAGCTATTCTAAAAAGCTGAAACAAAAATTTTAAACAAAAACAACTGAAAAAGAAAAAAAGAGCCTAACTCTATAGTTAAAAAATGTTAGATTTAGAAATCGAAACCAAGCAGCCTCAGGCCATTTTAGCAACACAGTACGCTTCTCTGTAAAGGCTGTCAGTGAATTTTGAGAATTTTTTTGGTTTGTTTGCCTTATACACCTATGTGAAATTGAACAGAAACCAGAAAAGTGAACAGCAAGGTAAAATACAAGAGACACTATGTTAGTCCACTAAATGGCCATTTGTCAAACAGTTGAAGATAAGCAGATATACCTTACTGGGCAGGGTAAGGAGCATTTTGGAGAAGTCATTTAGGGGGAGAGGTGGCTGCTTACCACAGACTGCAGGCGCTGGGCGAGTTGGTATGCTTCCACTGTATCTTTTCTGTCCCTGATTCGCGCTTTATCAACTGGGTGTGGCCTATTATATACAGCCTGTTCTGTGGCAATTCAGAAAAAACAAAACAATCTATTTTTTAACAAATTCATTTGTTAAACAGAAGACATATCTACACTGACTATAAATTGTGAGCCAATTTCTAAGTGTCTTTATACCAGAGCTTCTATGATTCTATACTGTTCCACAATCACACATTTTATATGCCACGTAGTTCTTACATAAAAGTAATTCTATTATTTATTATAAAGAATTCTCAATAAAATGTGATTCTTAGGAAATGGGTAATTCATTTACTTTTTTATTTACTCCACTTTGCTAACTTTGGAAATCTAACACAGAAAATACGATTTCATTTTTCTTTTGGTGGTTGACGAAGTTACGACACCTTAATTTTCCTGAAAAGCCAGTCCCAATATACAATGCTCTGGGCAAACAAAGACCTCAGGGCAAACTATACATTTTATCTGCCTCTACATAAGACAAAATCTTCTCTGACAGGAAGTTTTCTGGTTAGCTGTCTTTTCACAGACACAGACCACAGAATACTCTTCTCAAACCATGGGTTGCAAGGTTCTAATTACCTTATCACTTTGCAACTCTGGCATTACCTTTCTTCAAAAGGTTTGTGTCATGCTAATAAAAGGGTGGAATACATTTAAAAGTATACATATTCATCACCTTTTATATTTGAGAAAAACTAGGGTGAAAACACTTTTTTCCATGTAAAATGTTTTGGCATTTTTATTACACTTAAACATAGAGGCTCATAATTTGTTTCCTTTATTTAAGCACTGCTAGACAGTATTTCTAGTATGAATACAATATTTGCAAATTAAATAGGCTATTATTAGTTTTCATAAAAGTTTTATTTTTACTTGACAAAGGACTACACTCTTAAATTATTTCTACTTCTTAAGATTGCATATATTTCCTTTAAAATTATACCACCATTTTCACTATAGGTAGGTCAAAGGGAAACTAAACTAAATATAGTTTAATCATCCAAATCTGTTTTACAGCAAAATCTTAATACATTTATTCCAAAATGTTACTGAATCTCTCTCTATATATACCTAAGTCTACCTGAACTCTAACCATCAAGAAATTCATGGGTGCCGTAAGGATAAAAATGTCAAGTAAAAGGTGTTGTTGGGTTTTTATTTTTACCACATCCAAAATTGATTGCTCCTATCAATTCGAGGTATGTATGAATCCGTCCAATACAATTAACATCCCCACAGTTCTTCAGGCCAGGACGTACTGAGGTCTTATTTAAGTATTTCGGTTTGCATATCTCCCTAATTAAGAGATGGAAGTACAATTATTTTGGATAAATAAAAACATCAAAAAAAATTTCTGGGAAAAAATTTAATATTTGAAATACCTTAAAAATTCACCCCCTTGCAATATGTAAATGTGTAGTAAATACAATACTAATACATAATACCCAATGTGCATTTTCACTGAAATAAAATATCTTTAAATGATACAATACCTTACAAGAATAGTGAAATTTTAAAAGTATTATTTCTTTCCCAATATTAAATTCAATAAATTCCAGTTATCCCAGGAGTTTTAAGTTAGAAGCTTATTTACCTACATATCCAAATTCAAGCCTCAATCTTCGAATAAAAAAGGCACTTTGATTATATATTGAAAGCATTTATTATTAGACCTTTCGAATTTTTACTATGTCACTTAGGTTCATCTACTTTTACTTTGTTGGATACTATTTTTTCATTGTAAACTACCTTATAAATACTTACAAGTTTTATATTAGTTTTTAATCATTACAACAATAAATATTAAGTACTAACTCTCAGAAGAAAATAGAACTAGGTGTTATAGGGGATCCCAAAGGAATCAGGAAATGCCCAAAAGTTATGAAATAAGAGGTTTATACAGTAAAACACATATTTACTGAATATTATTAATGTACCCTGCTAGATGGTATAATATAGTTTAAAAATAATAGAAAACTTAATTACTAAGTGCTTACGCCAGATGCTGTACCAAGAGTTACACATCCTTAATCCTCACAACAACCCTACAAGACAGAGTTTACTATAGGAATCAGGAAATGCCCAAAAGTTATGAAATAAGAGGTTTATACAGTAAAACACATATTTACTGAATATTATTAATGTACCCTGCTAGATGGTATAATATAGTTTAAAAATAATAGAAAACTTAATTACTAAGTGCTTACGCCAGATGCTGTACCAAGAGTTACACATCCTTAATCCTCACAACAACCCTACAAGACAGAGTTTACTATTCTAATTTTAGTGATGAGAAACAAAAAGGTCAGAGAAATTAAAGCACTTAAGGAAGTGACAGCCCTGGTTGGTGTGGTTCAGTAGATTGCTGGCCTGCAAACCAAAGGGTCACCAGTTCCATTCCCAGTCAGGGCACATGTCTGGGTTGCAGGCCAGGTCCCCAGGAGGGGGAGCAGGAGAGGCAACCACACATTGACGCTTCTCTCCCTCTTTTCCCCCCTCCCTTCCCCTTTGTCTAAAAATAAATTTAAAAACCTTAAAAAAAAAGTGGTAAGATTTCAAACCAAGTACTCAGATAAATCGTATAACAGGTATTTCTTATTCAATTTTTATTTTATCTTACGAATATTTATTCTGCATCCTCTACATCAGGCATTGTTCTGGGCACTAAGGATACAGAGATGAATAGTATAAAGTTCCTGACCTTACATTCTAATGGGTCAAGAAATTTATAATATCTATTGTATTGTCAGTTAGCAATAAATGCTAGGAAGAAAAGAGGATAAGTAGATACGGTGAGATAAATAAGAAAAGACTATTTTAAATAAGTGTTTAGGGAAGGATTCCCTAAGCAGAAACCAAATTTGAAATCATAAATTCTATGGAACTTCAGGGAAAGGAAAAAGTAGCTTGTGATGTGAGAGGGTTTCAAAAGTTACAATGAAAAGTTGAGATTTCGAATGTTTTGAAAGAAAACAAAACTGAACAAATGAAGGCAAGAAAGTTGAAATGAGCATGGTATATAAAATAGCTACCAAAAAACTGTAGGAATCTAAAAACTGAATTGAAGTAATTAATGATTATCCAAAGCAAAAGGTTTTAAGCAGAACCTAGTAATCTAGTGCAGTGCTAAACGAATGGTTAAGGCTTCTCGAAATATCTGTTCAAGACATAATGATGACTCACTCATTCATTCAATCTTTTCTCCCTAACAAATTGAGTGCCTTCTGTATTATTCTTAGCATTATTCTTAGCATTAGGGATTTAACAAAAAATAGACAAAAAAATCTACTTGAGTGGAGCCTGCATTATTATTGGGAATCAAGGGAAAGACAATACACAAATAAAAATGTAATATTTTCAGTGGTAATAAGTTCTATGAAGATAAATGGAAAGCAGGATAAAAGAATGAGAGAAAGGAGATATGTGAGCTATTTTAGATAGGGTGGTCAGAGAAGGCCTCTAATTTCCCTTGAGCAGAGGAAGCAAGATTCACCAAGATCTGCAGGGGAAAGCATCCAAGGCAGAACGAAAAGTCTAGGTCAAGGCCCCGACTTGGAACTGTGAAAATAACGAATCAAGATTACACAGACTCTGGAAATCACTTTCACCTAAAGGGACTGCAACAAGTACCTTTTGCTCTCTGAAACTCATTTTTCTCACCTGTAAAATGAGGGCAGGCTGTCAAGAGAATTGGAGATGATTTAAATTCAATGCACAGCATTTGGTAGGCATTCAACAATGGCACTGGTTACTATTTTTATTAAATTCCCCTAAACAGGGAGTTGATTGCCACATGCTTTTATGAAAAGGTTCTTTTAGCTACAAACAAATCTAGTAGGCTTCTTTATATTTTTAAAACATTAACTTTCCTTCTATTTTTTTCAACACAACTTCAGTTCCTAATCACTTTCTTCTATTTCTGAAGAGAGCATTAGAGTTCCTGTTCAAAACATTTCTTTTTGCTTTTTCACCCATTGAAACAGCAACACTTAACTGGTTTCATGAACTAAGGCAAATCATGTTAGGAAACTACTGCTATATAATTTATACTATCTATCTAAATCATTCTGCCTCATAGAATCCAAAATCAAAGTAACAGATGCAATTTGATTAAAGTAACAGCACATACTCACTGATGATTGATATAGTCCTTCAGTTTTGGCCATTCATTCTTTTACTTCCAAAATCAGAATTAGATACCAGTAGAGATCCAATTTAATTTATCTGTTTTAATAGTGTGAATTAGGTAAATGCGGAATAACAGAGTGATTTATCGAGTCACGACTTGCACTGAAGTCTGTCAGTGGATGGTTATATAATCAAAGGCAGGTCCCTAAACCACTCCTGACCTCAGAATCAAATAGAGAAAACACCAGCTGCCTATTACAGGATTGTTGTGAGGAATCAGATGATATAGAAAAACGTTCTGTAAACTGCAAAGTGCTATGCCAATGTCAGTTGTTCTTTGTAAGTATTCTTTACTTTGACACCGGCTTACTCAGAATTTGTACTTTAAGCAATCTCAACTGTCTGCAAGAACAAGAACAAAAATCTTTCTTTTAAAGTATAGCTATCCTTAAAAGCCAAATCACTTAATATTTGGTGGGCAAAATGAACGTTACTGAATTACCAAACCTTGTTTTTCTTTGGTAATCTTCCTAGGTTACAGCAGAAGCCCTCTGTGAAGAGGGCCCTACACAATCCTGAAGCAGTAACAATTACGAATGTTTAATGATGCATTAAACTATTATGAAAAATTCAAATTGCTTTCAGAACACTTAGGCTAACAAGGTGGAAAGTTTTTTGGTTTGTTCCCAATCCCTCACTAAACAATGTAAGTAAAAGGTACTGACAATATAGAGGGTGAACTTCACAAATCAGAAAATTCCTGTTTCCTGATGAAGCTGGACGAAGGAATGAACAGATTATGCAGCAAATTCAAAGTTGAATGCATTTAATGGAGCTATTTAGGAGAATGGTTTTTGCAATCTAGCCGCATTTAATGACACTATCCTCCTGTCAGTTTTCTTTCTTTGTACTTCAAAGTATGGGATAAACTAGAAAACATGTTGTCCCTCTTTTCCAGAACAGTAGTGCTTTCTCTATCTTCCTGACTCTGTCCTAACAAAGTGCTCTTTAAGGCAATCATCTATCCCCCTCTTTTCCAGGCCCAAGCACTCATGAACAAATGAACACTAATAAACAAAGAGATGACAATGTGAACCAAAGCTTTCCACAAAAGTTTCACTATGAGAAATTTTAAGTCTTGACTATTGAAATATATTATGTTAAAGCTCTCTGGATCATTAGCATTGTACAATACTAAATTCTTCATAAGCCTAGTTTAAATATTCTAGAGTACCATAGGATTTAAAACAGCATCTATAATATAATTTTTCCTTACCACTGATCCAAAATGTAATTCCTAATTTTCAAATAGCGTTCTGGTGTTTTAGCTTGGCGCCCCTCAAAAAACTCAGGAATTGCTTGTTTTTCTTCTTCCTGAATAATATTTCTATCTATTTCTACTTCTTGCTCTGGTGGCTTAAGCTCTTCTTCCTCATGGTGCTCCTCCTCCATTTGGCAGTAGGACTGAAAAAGCATTTCATTATCACTCAGATCTTTCTGAACTTCACAAGGCTCTAGAGAAGGCAATGGCCTGTTATCACCTACTATTCCATTTCCATCATGCTTATCACAGCTTTTTATCAGTTTATTAGATTTCTGATCATTTAATTCAAGTGATTTTTTATCACTGGTGCTCTGTTTTTCAGTGCAAAATGTAATTCCTGAGCTTGAAAGTGTTTCCACCTCACCATGCTTTAAATTCTGAAGATTTTCTTTCGAAGATTTAGAAATGGAATCTTCCTGACTGGCAGAGGTGACAAATTCTCCTTGGCAGGTTTCATGACTTTTACTATTAGGGATGTCTAATAAGAGATGTCTACTAGGATCCTCCTGGGGTGCTTGAGAGGTCATCTCATCTGCCTCATCTGTGATGTCTACTTCTTCGTCATCAGATAACTTTTCAATTTTTACAGCATTCAAGTTGGGATCAGCACGTCCCCTTAAACCTGACGGTGTCCACGCTGTTGTGCTTTCAACTTCACTTTGAATCTGAATATCACTGCTGTTCTTCTGATTTGGTGTTTTCTTCTCTGGACCATCTAATTTTACCTTATTAAAAACCAAGATAAAACCCCATACATAGTATTAAAATTTTAAAATTTAATCACTGGCAGAAAAAGTAAGAGAAATAGAATGTTATTAAACTGAGTAAATGTCTTTGGTACATTGTACCTTTATGGTAATTTTCTTTAAACTGTTTACCACTACATTTTAAAAGGGCAATTACTATTTTGTTCCTCTACGTCACTATATGAAATTAGGTAGACTAACATAATACCTATTTCATAGGAACATTCAAAACACTGAAGATATGCTTTGAGATTTTTGAAGATAAATATCTGTAAAGTACTTTATAGGTATAAAATACTTCCAACATAAAAACTTCAACATTAAGACTTTAATACCTGAAATAAAAACTACTTTGTCTAATTTTATTTAAAAATACTATTATTATGGATAGTTATATTCTGCTTACCTTATTTTTAAAGTACTGCCTGGCATAGCTCTTCACTTGTAAAACAGTGCGACTTCCAATTAGCTTTGCAATTTTGGTCCACCTTCGGCCAAATTTAGCCTATATCAAAATGGAAAAGAAATTGTTTCTGTTGAACTTACTTGTTAATATTCTAAGCAACTGCCACATTAACAAAATAAAAACAAAGTAAAAGAATAACTCATGTTTATTTTCTAAAGCACACAATGAAGCCTCGTAGATTGCTAAGACTCTTAAAAAATCAAAGCCCAGCCCTGGCTGGTATAGCTCAGTGGATTGAGCGTGGGCCTGGGAACCAAGCAACCACGGTTCGATTCCCAGTCAGGGCACATGCCTGGGTTGCAGGCCAGTTCCCAGCAGGGGACACACAGGAGGCAACCATACACTGATATTTTTCTCTCTCTCCTTCCTTTCCCCTCTAAAGATAAATAAATAAAATCTTTTAAAAAAAAATCAAAGCCCATATTCTTCCTTTGAAATCTGGACTTATGAACACTGACCAAAATGGTTTTGAAATTAGTTTTCTTTTCAAAGCTAAATAAAGATACATCACTTCTTGTATTCCTAACCATATGCATTCATATTATGATGTTCTGAAGCTTAAGATATTATCTTGATTTTAAAAATATTTGAAACAAGTACGAAAGACACAGGGATGAGGACTAGGGGGGGAGGAAATGGGAGGGAGGTGGGGAGCACAGGGCGGGGGGGCTGGGATGAGAGAAACAGACAAAAAAATGTACTTGAAAAATAACTAAATAAAATTTTTTTAAAAACTGGCAAAAAAAAAATTTGAAAGGGAGGCAAGACCCACTTTTCACTTACACAATCCACTGAGTATGTTCTGACACTAATTTAAAAATACCTTTTTACCCAGATTCCATTTGTTACAATATCCATTATGTATACCACAGCAGATACTATAACTACACAGATATCACAGCGAACTGACAGAAGAATCACACTGCCCAGGCCAGTGTGGCTCAGTTGTTGGCGCATCATCCCACACACCAGAAGGTTGCATATTCTATTCCCCATTGGGTCAGGGCACATGCCTAGGTTAGAGGCCCAGCCCCCTGTCTGGGCATGTCTGAGAGACACCTGATTGATTTTTTTTCTCCTCTCTCTAAAATCATCGGGTGAGGGTAAATAAAAAGAGGGAATCACGAATGAAGTGACCTGCAACCAACACCTCCTCCTACTGTTGAAGGCTATCCACCTGCCAACACTGAAGCCATGCTGAGTAAAAACTAAGAACCTGAGGGAGCTCTGGTGTGTTGTGAAATACAAAAAGAAATAAATATAATTTTACAGTGAAAAGGGATGTTTAGGTACCCAGTTTATCAGCTGATACACACATAAACCTCCTTTATAACATCTCTAACACAAGATATGCTCTATGTCCCAAAGTCGCTCAATGATTCTAATTTTTTAGAATTCTTAAAGCTATGAAAAACAAATAAACCCTGCTACAACTCAGGGAAGTTGATCTCAGAGTAAATTTACAGGCCACGCAGTTACAACATGTTGTAGTAAGTCATTGTCAAAGATCTGATCCAAATGATAAACCTTCATTTATACAATTACTTCTTGTATTCCTTAGAAAATATGATCCATGGAAAATTTCTTAAAACTTAAAGTATTTCTGGGAAAGTTACTGGCAAGTATAAATTAACTATTTATATCTCAACTAACACCTAGTAGAGATCAACTTACTAAAGAATTACTTATCTTTATTTTGGGAAAAAATCAAATAGGCAACTTGACAGTACAGAACACTCTGGGAGGCAGGAAAACCCCTAATAAAGTATGACCAGTAGGGACTGTAAAGGCCTGGGCTTTGTGAAACTGAGGAAGGGGGCACTAACAAGAGGAGCGAAGAAAACACGCATCAACTTTAAAATGGAGCAGGGGGAAAGCCCTATGCCCAAGAAAGGGAAGAAAACTCTTCCTTCGTCTTTTGGTGCCACATAACTACTTTCTCTCAAACCTGAGAAAAATCGGTCTGTAAGCAAATTACATGAAAAGGTCAAAAAGGGTGAAATACAACCAACAGTTCCATGTGTGTTTGTGGGAAAAGATTCTAAGTTGAAAATATTTGTTTATGTATATACATAGTTATCTACACATGTATATAAATAAATACCCGTTTGCTTATACAGGGATAAATATCTCTGGATACATAAAAAAACAGATGAAAATGGGTGCCTCAGGCATAGAGAACTAATGGTTGAGAAGCAAGATGGACTTAATACCGTATGACTTTAGGTTCCTTTTGAATTTTAACCATGCAGCTGTAGCTCCTATAACTACTGTCAACAATAACGACCTAAAAATTCACAACCTACTCGCATTAGTGTGTATAGATATGGTCTTCAGTAAGAGGCAAAACACCAAAGTTGTCAGCAATCTTAAACAAATGGCTGGTTAGTTCAAGTTATATTATGTAAATGATAATCATGCAACAGACTGAAATGCCAATACAAAAACATAACAGCACAGGAGAAAAACTTCAGGAAGACACAAAAGTCTCAAGATAGTTTGGTATTTTTATAAAAACATCACGGCCCTCGCTGGTGTGACTCAGTGGATTGAGTGCCAGCCTGTGAACCAGAGTTGCCAGTTTGATTCCCAGTTTAGGGCACATGCCTGGGTTGCCAGTCAAGTCCCTGGTTGGGGGTACATGAGAGGCAACCACACATCGATGTTTCTCTCTCTTTCTCCCTCCCTTCCCCTCTCTAAAAATTTTTTTAACTCCTAAAAAAAAAATCATGGAATATATAAATGCCATGGTAATGACTAAATATAAAAATATACATTTTATTTCCTATCATCTGTAGAAACATTTATAATATTTCAATTAGTATTTATGGATCCTACATAATTATATATTCTATATATATATAACATATAAATTCAAAATTAATTTAGCATAACATTAGGTAATATGTATCTTAAAAGAAACGATATAACCTATTCCCAATAGTTTTTAAAAATTCTGAATATTTTATTAAGTTTCTTCACGTTAAGGATTATTTTCATAATTAGAAATTGAGGTGTATATTTTTCCATTATGTAACTTGTAGACATTTATATAGACCTCAGCGAAACATTCACATAAAAGAAATGTTTTGTCTTCAATTACAGCCACTAAAATGTTTAGATTGTATGCACAATGCCAAATATCTGAATAAAAAAAACCTCAACCCAGACAGTTCCAAATACACAAGTTTGTTTTTTTCAAAAGAAAATATCAGATAACTAAATAATTTTGCCTTTTAATCCAGGTAGTTGGTGTCATGTAAAGAGAGACAGCTCAGTTTGTGGGTTTTATTAGTATAAAAATGATCCAAAATATTAATCCAAATCTATTTTAATATTCTAGTAACTTAAATGAGTTAAATTCTCTTGTATGATGCTACAAACATCATCATTCTAACTATAGAAAAACTACAGATATGATCACTGTAATTAAAAAGAAATTTCTGGTCTCTACAAATTAATTTAACCTTATAATTCTATCAATACTTGCTTCTAGGATTATTTTACTATAAATCAAAAATTGTTTTATTTACCAGCCCTTGTTCAAACAGCTCTTTTTCTTCTATCGTCCACTTTACTGAGAAACTGGCTGGTTTTGTAGGAGACTGTACCCTGAGAGGAAAAAAGGGAATTGCAAAAAAAAAATTCTGAAATGGAACATTCCATACTTATGCACCTAAAGGTTATAGATAGCCATGAACTAAATTTAACACTTAGTCTAACAATTTAAATAAGTAAATAAATGAATGAATGAATGAATAAATAAGAAAGAAGAAGGCTGCAGCCTGTCCATGGGGGGCGGATTTACCCTGTCTCATACACTTCTCTAGCTCAGGACGATTAGGAGCCCAAAGACATAATCCATGGGTCTGAGGGAAGATACACACACACAAAAACACTAAAAAGACACTAAAGGAAGTTGGTGTGAAAACAAATAAATAGGTTCCTTTTATTGAACACAAAGCAGCAGACATTAATACATTTCCAAATCCTAAAAGGCATGCAAAAGTTTAAATTGACTCCATAAATATTATCTCTTTGATTCTTTCACATAAGTCCATGTGAACATCAAACCAGAAAAGTAAAAACACCACGGCATCACATTTATTGTTTTTGAATTGCAGTATCTGAAGAAATCAAAAGAGTCACGAGGCTCACTAATTTAATTCAAAGGAAACCATTCATCTTTTCATTCACTTCACTTTCTGTTGTTTATTCACTAAAATGTAAAAGCCAAAGTCTGTTCAGTGCTCAAACTCTTGACTGCTGCAAATCTGTACCTCTTACTTTTTAAGGGACCATAAATATTCAAGTTTATAAACACTAAATAAAAGTTAATAATGCGATGGCCAAAATGTCCATTACGTTTTTTCCTGTGCAATGACTCTAGTACTGCCAAGCTGTTTTTAACTTCATTTAAAACAATTCTGTTAGATTGTATTGTGGCAACTTTCATTCAGCATGCATTTAAAAGAAAAACGTCAAAATTGGAATTTTTTGTGTAGTCGTTTTAATTCTGAAATGGAAGGAAATAGGCAGCATTTTCAGGATATTATGTTCTATTATTTCAAGTAAGGTAAAAATACAACTGAAACACAAAAAAACAATTTGTGCAGTGTATGGAGAAGGTATCAAAGTGGTTTGCAAGTATCTTGGTACTACTGACACTTTGGCCAAATGATTCTTTGCTGTGGGACTGTCTTATGCATTAGAAGATGTTTAGCAGCATCCCTGGCCTCTACCCACTAGAAGCCATTAATGGGAGACAGCTGCCATACTCGAAATACCCAAATCAATAAAGTTACTGGTAAAAATGAAAAAATGGGTCTTTTATTTTACAGCAAAAATGTAACAGACTTTTAGGCCAATCTGCTAGTCTCTTTAATTTTTTTGAGAGCTACAAATTCAAATTAAATTTTAGTTTGGCATGATTAAAAATTAACTGCCAGGGCAACAGAAATCAAATTAATTCCTTATATATTACATAGCAGATTTTAAAAGTTTCCCCACAAATCCCTAGGACACCATCATTCCCATAATTTGATGGAAGCAAAAGAAAATTCTGGCAAATAACATTATAAAATTACCTTGGGGCATTTCAATATGTCTACAAGAAATTTTAATTTTTAATTTCTGTATAACTCAAGATGAAGTGGGCTTTTTCACAGGCCAACTACAATTTTTGTTTAATTTTCCCACAGTTTTTAATAAAAGATTTTAAAGTATAAAACATAAATACATACATGGTTTTTGCTGTTTTCTGCGGACTGCACCACATGAAAAAAGAAATAAGAAGTGTGTGAAGTTTTTAAAAATATTATCCAGACTTTAAAAAGTATGATATATTGATTTTTACCTCTTTGTGTATTTTTTATCATCTTCCTTTTGATCAAGCCAGAATTTTTCTGGAAGTGATTTTTTAGATAAATAATACCTGTGTAATTATTAAGGAAACTTTTAAAACAATAATAAAGTCATACCTTTCACATGACATATAAAGCAGGCACTCATGTTATATACTCATGAAAGTCACACTTGAATCCTAGCTAAACCAACTCCTCTCAAAGCTCTTTTCAGGTCTGTACAAATTTTGATAAAATTATTTATACCTCACAGAGTTGTTATATGGATTAAATATCACACATAAAATCTTACGACATGGTGCCTGCATAAAGTGTGTGCTACATAGAGGCTAGTTTCTCTTACTTTCCCTTTTACAAGTAGCTAAGAGAAGAAACAACCTCAATGTTCTACTTAGTTCTTTTTTCCTAAAACACAGGGTGAGTGTAATATATGAATTTAATGGGTTGTCCAGGGTAATTTAGGACAACCAATTGTTTTCATATTTCTGAAGGTAAGAGAAGAATTCAGGGTTATTCTCTACCTTAATACAAACAACAAACAAGTCAAATCTACCAGAAAGCCTCCTCCTCCAACTTTTAAAAACTGGCCTCTGCAGTACTTTTAATCAGAAATATCCTTCAGGACTTCTGGCCAAGATGGAGGCGTAGGTAGACATACAGTACCTCCTCCCACAACAAAAAAAGAGAGAACAACTTAAAAACAAAAAACAGCCAGTGTCCATGGAAAACTGAACTGTACGGAAGGCTGACAGCCAAGGAATTAAAGTAGACACATGCATCCAGACAGGTAGGAGGGGCGGATCTGGGCAACCAGGGTGGGAGGGACTTGCAGCAAAGCAGTGGCTGGCGGACCCAGGATGTGCAAGGCAGTAGCTGACAGCCCCAGAGAGGCAGAGGATTGTGGAGGGGCGCAGTGCACAAGGTGGCTAGCAGACTGGTGGTCCCACATTCACATGCAGATAAACAAGGGCAAACTGGGGAGCGAGACAGACTGTGCAACCCAGGGTCCCAGCACTGAGAAATAAAGCCTCGAAACACTGACTGAAAACACCTGTGGGGGTTGAGGTGCCAGGAGAAACTCCCAACCTCACAGGAAAGTTCTTTGGAGAGACCCACTGGGTCCTAGAACATAACCAAACCCACCCACACAGGAATCAGCACCAGAAGGGCCCAATTTGCTAGTGGCAAGAGGGGGAAGTGACTGAAATCCAGCAGAGCGCAGAGTAAGTGGCACTGTTCCCTCTCGGCCCCCTGCCCAACATACAGCATCACAACCAAGGAACTGGGTTGCCCGCCCTGTTGAACACCTAAGGCCACGCCCCTCACTATGTAACAGACATGTCAAGACGAAAAAAAAAAATGGCCCAAACAAAAGAACAGATCAAAGCTCCAGAAAAAATACAACTAAGCAACCAAGAAATAGCCAACCTATCAGATGCACAGTTCAAAACACTGGTAATCAGGATGCTCAGAGAATTGGTTGAATTTGGTCACAAATTAGATGAAAAAATGAAGGCCATGCTAAGTGAAATAAAGGAAAATGTACAGGGAGCTGATAGGGGAAGGAAACTAGGACTCAAAATCAATGGAGTGGACCAGAAGTAAAAAAGAAACATCCAATTAGAAAAGAATGAAGAAACAAAAATTCAAAAAAATGTGGAGAAACTTAGGAACCTCCAGGACATCTTTATACGTTCGAATATCCAAATTATAGGGGTACCGGAAGGAGAAGAGGCAGAGCAACAAGTGGAAAAGTTATTTGACCAAATAATGAAGGAGAACTTCCCCATTCTGGAAAAGGAAATAGAATTCCAGGAAGTCCAGGAAGCTCAAAGAGTCCCAAAGAAGTTGGACCCAAGAAGGAACACACCAAGGCACATCATCATTACATTAGCTAAGATTAAAATGAAGGAGAGAATCCTAGAAGCAGCAAGAGATAAGGGAACAGTTACTTACAAAGGAGTTCCCATCAGACTGTCAGTGGATTTCTCAACTGGAAAGAAGTATTCCAAGTCCTGAAATCCAAAGACCTACATCTAAGATCGATCTATCCAGCAAAACTTTCATTTAGAATGGAAGGGCAGATAAAGTGCTTCTCAGAGAAGATAAAATTCAAGGAGTTCATCATCACCAAGCCCCTATTATATAAAACGTTAAATATAAAATGAATTTCTTTTTCTTACCTAAGGAAAACAAAAAACATGTACCATAAAATGAACTCACAATTATTAACAACCACACCTAAAACAAAAACAAAAATAGACTAAGCAAACAACTAGAACAGGAACGGTACCACAGAAATGGAGATCACATGGAGGGTTATCAACAGGGGAGTGGAAGGGGGAGAAAGTGGGAGAAGGTACAGAGAATAAGTAGCAGAGATGGTAGACAGAAAATAGGGGGAGGGTAAGAACAGTATGGGAAACGTAGAAGGTAAAGAACTTATGACACACAGACATGAACTAAAGGAGGAAATGTGAGTAGAAGAGGGTGTGCAGGGTGGAGAGGAATGAAGGGGGGCAATGGGCCAACTCTAATAGCATAATCAATAAAATATATTTAAAAAAAGAAATATTCTTCACTAACAATTATTGACTGTATATTGTGTTATGTCAGGCACTATGTGAGGTTCTAGGTACTGAAGACAAAGAAACAAGAAAATATTATCTGTCTTCTAAGAGCTGACACAGGTTTTACTCTCATTATTTTTTTCCAAATTTGGAAGTGAACCAGTGACTAGTTAAGTATTCATTAATCTAGAATTATCTTATTCAATACATTAGCCCATAGCCACACGTATAACTACTTAATATTTAAAAGGTGGCTAGCACCAACTGAGATGTACTGCAAATATAATACACACCGAATTTCAAAGAATATGAAACAAAGAATGTAAAAGATCTCAATTACGGTTTTATGTTGATTAAATGTTGAAATGTTCAATATACTGGGTTAAATAAAGTATATTGTTAAAATTAATTTCACATGTTTTAAATGGAGCTACTACAAATTTAAATATGCTACTTGCACTATTTTTCTGTTAAAAGCAATGATACAGGCTATAATGTCTGGGAGGGCTAGAGGGCTAAGAAAGCCTAAGGAGGGTTAACCTATGATAATTAAAGGAACAAAGACACTCTGAAATCAACATAGCAATAATTGGGAATAAAAGAAATAGAAAAATTGTGGCTTAAAATGAGGTAGAAATTCATGAAATATAGATGAAAGAATTAAAACTAAAACATTACTCATTAGACTATTATTAATAACCTTTATAAATCACAAAATTAGAAATAATTTTGTTCAAATCCTCTCAGTCTACATATAAGAAAACTGAGTCCCAAAAGAGTTAAAGTGCCAACATCACAGACACATGAAAGAAATGTGGACAAGAAACTAGTGGCTTAACCATGGAGAAGAAGCCACAACTGCTGAGAGGAAAAAATCTTCATCTTTTCGTATTTGTTTTGTGTTTTTTCTTTAGATTCCTCTCACATAACAACTGTAAGGTGGTAGAGTAAAAAGCGAGAAATTTTACATATTCTAGTTCTGTGTCCTTCAACAAATCAGCATCTCTGATTTCAGTTTATATACCTGAAAACGGAGAACTGGACTACATGACCTTGGACTAAAGATTCCAGCTAACTTAAAACATTCTTTAATTTCAAATCAATATTCAGGCAGTATGGAGAATTGGCTGACAACAGAAATGAAAAAATATTGAGTCATATTTCAGACTTAGCAATGAAACAGAACCAGAATAAAATGCAGCTTTTTGCAAACGTGGGTAATGTATTATATAGCAGTATGGGGCCCAAAAAAATCCATTTAGTAATTATCAGTGGTCTCATTTTTAAGTTTTGCATTTAGAGGTTTTTAGCCCTGAAATTTTTTCTTTACTCATAATCATTAAAGGATACTCTTCTTCCAACAACATTTTCTCAATGACAGCTCTGTTCTCTTCACTGATGGTGTTATCCAGAGTCCAAGGCTATTAAAAAAGAGAATATGGTTTTCTTTTATTTACTAGTTCTTGAAATTATCTCCTATATTTTGCTAAGTGAAGATACATAATGATATGATCACCAACAGCAGCAGCTATCATTTCCAGAGCACGACGATGTACCTTTGATTCCCACTGTAGCTCTATGAGACAGGCACTATTACACCCACAGCACCGCTAGCATTTCAAGTGGGAGAGTAGAAACTTGACATACAAGTCTGTTAGATCCCAAGGCTCAAGCTCCTATCTATGATAAAGTAATAATGGCTATCATGTATGAAAAACTAGTAGTGATCAGCATTTTGCTAGATACTTCACCTATTTCCAAAACTCACAATTCTCTTCTCCTTCCTTGAATGATCACACTCATTTTCAACTCTCAAAATTTAAAAATTTTCAGCTCCAGTCTCTTCTCCAAGGTTCTATCTAGACTGTTATTTCTAACTGCCCCCTCAAAATTTCCACTTAGGTATCTAATAGGCTTCTTGAATTTAACATTTAAAATATAACTCACCATCCATACCTTCCTTCATGCTTCTTCCCCAGCCTTCCCAGTTTTATAAATAGCACTAGTTGTCACGACATTATTTTAGCTAGAAACCCAAGATTCATCCTGGATTCTTTCCTTTTCTCTCAGTTCCCATATTCAAGCAGCTCTACCTTCAAAATAGATGCTTTAAAAATCTTATTTATTTATTTATTTATTTATTTATTTATTTACCTGCTCTACCAAGCAGTTCTACCTTCAAAATATTTACTTGTTTGTTTGTTTGTTTGTTTGAGAGGGGAAGGGAGGGACAAAGACAGGGAGAGAAACACTGGGAGGTCTGCCTCTCATAAGCACCCCAACCAGGGATGGAACAGCAACCTAGGCATGTGCCCTGACTGGGAATTGAACCCATGACCTTTTGGTTTGCAGGGACCGATACCCAATCAGCTGAGGCACACAGGTCAGAGCTCAAAGTGTAATTTAATTAAATTTGTCCATTTCTATATCTTCTGCCACAACCTCAGGCCAAGGTACCACCAAATCTTGGTTACTCAAATGTTCCCTAACTGGTATCTTGATTCCACTCTTGCTTCTTGCAAATATGACGGAGCTCTCAGCTGCCTCTTCAACCCTGTCATAGCTACCATCCCCCCTTATCATATTTTAGACACTGGCTTCCAACCAGAGCTATTCCTTCTGCCTAGAATGCTTTTCCTCAACTTTTCATTTACCTACTCCTCTCTTTCCATTACTTTTCAACTTAAATGTCACCTCCTCAGTTTCCTTCACTGACAACTTTATCTAAAGTAGGTTCCCCATCCTGTTACTCCCAGTCAGCATCTAATGTCCTTTATGATTTATTTTATTTTTTTAAATGTATTTTATTAATTATGCCATTAAAGTTGTTCTATTCCCCCTTCATTCCCCTCCACCTTGCACACCCCTCCCCCACATTCCGCCCCTTTAGTTTATGACCATGTGACTCAAGTCCTTTAGATTCTGTATTTCACTTACTATTCTTGCCCTCCCCCCTATTTTCTACCTACCATCTATGCTACTTATTTTCTGTACCTTCTCCCCCCTTCTCCTTCTCCCACTCCCTGTTGCTAACCCTCCGTGTGATCTTCATTTCTATGGTTCTGCTCCTGATCTAGCAGTCCTCTTAGTTTGCTTTTGTTTTAGGTGTGGTTGTTAATAACTGTGAGTTTGCTGTCCTTTCACTGTTCATCTTTTTTATCTTCTTTTTCTTAGGTAAGTCCCTTTAAGATTTCATATAATAAGGGCTTGGTGATGATGAACTCCTTGAATTTGATCTTACTGAGAAGCACTTTACCTGCCCTTCCATTCTAAATGAAAGCTTTGCTGGATAGATCAATCTTAGATGTAGGTCTTTGGATTTCAGGACTTGGAATACTTCTTTCCAGCCCCTTCTTGCCCCTAAGGTCTCTTTTTGAGAAATCCGCTGACAGTCTGATAGAAACTCCTTTGTAAGTGACTGTCCCCTTATCTCTTGCTGCTTCTAGGATTCTCTCCTTCATTTTAATCTTGGGTAATGTAATTACGATGTGCCTTGGTGTGTTCCTTCTTGGGTCCAACTTCTTTGGGACTCTCTGAGCTTCCTGGACTTCCTGGAAGTCTATTTCCTTTGCCAGATTGGGGAAGTTCTCCTTTATTATTTGTTCAAAGAAGTTTTCCACTCATGGCTGTTCCTCTTCCCCTTCTGGTACCCCTATAATTCGGATGTTGGAACATTTAAAGATGTCCTAAAGGTTCCTAAGCCTTTCCTCCTTTTTTTGAATTCTTGTTTCTTCATCCTTTTCTGTTTGGTCATTTTTTTCCTCCTTCTGGTCCACTCCTTTGATTTGAGTCCCGGTTTCCTTTCCATTACTATTGGTTTCCTGTGTATTTCCCTTCATTTCAATTAGTTTAGCCTTCATATGTCCCTCTAATTTGTGACTAAAATCAACCAGTTCTGTGAGCATCCAGATCACCAGTGTTTTGAACTGTGCACCTAAAAGTTTGGCTATTTCTTCATCACTTAGATTTATTGGCTCTGGGGCCCTGAGTTGTTCTTGAGCCATGTTTTGATCTGTTTGTGCCTGTTACATATGAGGAGCGGAGCCTTAGGTGTTCACCAGGGCGGGGCCACCCAGGTCGCTGGGTTGTGATGCTGTATGTGGGAGCGGGGTCAGAGAGGGACAATGGTGGCCCCCTCTGCTGCTTCCCGCCACTGGGGCTTCCACAGTCCGTCTCACTGCTCCTTCCTTCACCGGTTTATCTGGGCTCGAATGTGTGACTCTGGTCCGCCCTCAGTGGGTCTGCTGCCTTTCGCCCTCAGTAGGTCCGCCTGCTACTCCACACCTGAGATCCGCCCACGGTTGCGTGCCTGGGTCGGTCAGGTGGATCTTTCCTAACCAACCCTGCTCTGCTGCTGGCTCTGCCCCTCTTACCAGTTTGGCTGAAGGGTTCGTTGTTGTCAGAATTCCATGTAGTTCAATTTTTTGTGGCTTGGCTGTGTTTTTGTTGCTAAAATAAAAACTGTTATTTTTAAACTTGGTTGTGTGAGAAGGCACAATGCTTCCACCTACGCCTCCAACTTGGCAGAAGTCCTCCCTTTATGATTTATATAGTCTGTCTACTTACCACCTGACTCTCCTTTAGACTATAAGCTCCTTAACAGAATCAAGTCTGTCTTGATTATAGTTGTAACCCCCAAATCTGCCTTAGTATTTGACACATAGTAAATACTTAATAAATACCCTTTAAATGAGGATATGAACCCTGCAATGTACCCCACACTTCAGATGATAAAACTAAGGTTCAAAAATCTGGTAAGTGATAGAGCAAGGATCTATATCTAAATCCAGCAGGATCCAGAGTTGTTTTTCAACAGGACATTTTTCAAAATCAAAAGAAGTAAGTTTCTGCTATTTTTACAGAAAGAAAAATGTTTCAATATATTACCTCTGTGAGTGCTGAGAACTAGCACCAAATTGAAAAAAAAAAAGGGGGGGATACTCTGGATAATGAGTAATAGTTTAAGATACTTGATATTTTCATAAAATACTTACAATAAGACTATTCTCATTTCTCCATGATGAATCAAGATAGTGATCTTGTAAAACAGATGCTGTATTTTCATTGCTTCTGTAATAATTAAGAAAATAGGTGTAAAAGTGATATTATACTAGTTAATATATACAACTTACACTGCCATGACCGGCAGGTTGTGATTTAACCAAATATTTAGTTCCCTCATGCCTTTAACAAACAGATTTAATGTTGCAGAAATGCCTCCTCTACTTCTTTGGCCTATGAATATATAGTGGCTATATATTTTAATTGCTAAATATCAAGTCTGTTCACTTCTTTTGTTTCCTAAGAATAAACAACTTCAAGAGGGAAAAATAACCCAAAGCAGCAACCACACATGCTCTATGGCCATGAATCAACACTTCAGATTTCTTTTGAGGAACATCCATGTGTATATAGACATTTAACTTCACAACTACTTCTTTTAGCTCTATCTAAAGCATAAAAGCCACCATCAATAAATAACACCACCCTTACAACACAAAAGAAAACAAACAAACCCAAGAATGGAAGAACCAAAATAGAATATACTTGAAGGATGGTACAATGAAGATATAAGAAAGTATGATGTTTTAATAACTCATATAATTTAACAAATTAATTTGGGGCTTATTTGGGCTCTTTTCTATATCCATAGGGAATTAAACTATGCTAATTCACTCCTTTCATTAAACTACTAAGAACTCCCTAAAGTCACATGTTCACTTCATATGCAAAAAGACTGAATAGCTAAATACTTAAGTTTTGAGAGGTCTAATCTATGATATAATTAATTTAGTATTTGTTTTTGTATGTCCCAAAGTTATAAAGTTTCCTACATAAATTATTGACTTTTCCCAGACCTAGTGCAGTGCTAAGAATTTGTACCTGTTAAACTGAAAAAATCTATCTATTTATATTTTTGAATCTTCACTTACTCCCACAGTGGTTATAATGAATTGTGGGACTAACAGACTATCTACAATAAAATAAAAGCAATAATATCTCTCAATTGTTGATGGCAAAAAAGTTTAACTCAAGTGTTCATTCTGATCTCGTAGGATCTACTAGCAATGTGAAATAAAGGGTTCTGAGACCTGTATCAGCAGAAGGAAACCATTATTTAACTACTAGGTCTGCCCAGAGTGCAGGAGGTCAGACTGGTATCACTTCACCTTTCTTTAGAGATCTTTTTACATAGTACCCCTCAATAAGGATTACCAACATCCACAACTCTGGTGTATATATCTGGACACTTACCTGAATCTCCATAGGTACCACATAACAACATGTGTAAACTTGAGTTCACCTTTCCTCTCAAATATGCTACTCTCCCATCTCAGTCTTTGGCATCTCCATTCCCCTACAGCAGGGGTGCCAAACTCATTTTCACCGGGGGCCACATCAGCCTTGAGGTTGCCTTCAAAGGGCCGAATATAATTTCAACTCCTTAACAGTTCAAGAGAATTACATTTATACAGTCCTAAAGTTATTTCAGCCCTTTGAAGGTAACCACAAGGCTGATGTGGCCCCAGGTGAAAATGAGTTTGACACCAGTGCCCTAGAGGGCCAAGCCGGAAACCTGTACCTGCCTTTATTTCCTCACAACGTATTAATACATCCAATGTGTTGCCAATTCTTTTGCTTCTCACTTTTCCGAATCCAGTTCTTACACTGGATTTCCACACTGACCTCTGAGGTCTTGCCGTGTCAGACCTTATAATTTCCCTGGTTAACTGCAAAGGATAAAGCTGACAAGTCATCCACTTTCTACCTACCTTTATCTTTTCCACTTATCTTCAACTGACATATAGAGGTTTACTGTCTACCTCATCTAATAAGAATGTTAGTTCTATGAGAACAAGGCCTTAGTTTTGGTAACTGATATACCCAGAGCTTTGCATACAAAAGGTGCTCAACGAATACTTCTTGAATGAATGAACGAGGTAGGTGAGGTATGGGTCACACAGGTCTCTAAGAGTTAAGGAATGCAAAAACCTTTATCACAAAGCCAACTGGAGACTGAAGAAAATAATGATCTGGAAGTAAGAAAGAATGTTCTAACTTCAGGGAAGAGTTGAAGCCAAAGAGACAAGGAGCAGTTAACAGGGAGTGATTACATAAATGCCAGAAAAAGGTGATAGTAACTCGGATATACGGAACAAGCAGTTCCTTGGGTGACTGGCTGCATGGTGCCATTTATTGAACTAGGGAACCCAGAGAGGCAGGTTTGGTGGGAGAAGTTCGTAAGGTGAGATTAAGGTGCTTGTGTAACATCCAAGGGCAAACAGATTCAGAAAGCTGGATAAATGGATCTGAAGCTCAGGAGAGATTTGGGTTGGCAGCAGATTTGGGAAACAGCCCAACAGATAGACATTTAAGTCTTGAGTTATGATATCACCAGGGACTGTGTGGTTTTGTCATAAGAGTAGGAGTCTTGTGACAAAACCCCCAGGAACACTGATTAAAGGACAAGTGAAAATCCAAAGGATGAGAAGAAACCGAAGTAGAAGAGAAATCAAAAAGTTTCAATGCCATCTTCTAGCTTTGGTACCAAGACTTAGTAAGTGCAAATGCTCCCTGACTTATGACAGGGTTTTACCGGTACTGCAGTGGAGCCAGCTTCTCTGAGGTGGTCAAACCATTTGAAAGGAAGTTTAGTGTAAACTGAAAGACACAATTGTTTCAGTAGCAGTTCATTTAAAATTAGCATAACACTAAAAGCAGATAAAATAATTAACTCAGTATATTCTCAGATTTTAGGTTATATGATAAACTTTGAATTCATGTTCTAATACTAATGAGTCTAGTAAATCCTCCATGTTATAAGGATTGTCCTCCTTTTCTAAAGAAACACTGGAATGTCCTGATAAACTCAACAAAGCTGAAAATCTCCTAAGTCAAAAAAAAAAAAAAGCACTGAATACACCTAACCTAACAAGCATCACAACTTAGCCTTAAATGTGCTCACTGTAGAGAATCTGTTGTTTACCCTGGTGATCCAGTACCTATCTAGGATCTGGGGCTTGCCGCCAATGCCCAGCATCTTAAGAGAGTATCATACCTGCTATCACTAGCCTGGGAAAAGGTCAAAATTCAAAATTCAAGGTATGATTTCTATTGAATATGTATTGTTTTGCACCACTGTGCAGTTGAAAATCATGTCAGAGGGCACTATTCCCCAGAATATAATGCTACTGATACTCCTCAGAGTTGGTAAGGCAATGACTCTGACCAATTACCTGTTACCTTCCCTGCATAAAAGATGCTAATAGCTGCCACCAGTAGACCTAAGGCTCATACAGAGCAAGAAGAAAGAGAAAAGAAAGGAAAAGAGAAAAGGGAGAAAAATTACATACTGTCATAAAAATAATGAAGAACCTACAGAAAAGAGTTAGAGCCAATGTTCTCAGATGATCTTTATTGTTTCCAAAGCTAACTTATTTCTGGACTGCAGGTAGTATCCTTGCCCACTTATCTCACAGACTTACAAAAAGTAAATTAAAGCACGCATGCAAAAGCGCTTAGTCAAGATTAACCTGACCTACACAAATGGGAACAATGATTGTTATTAAGGCTTTGTACTCATTTTGTATAACTTTGGAGTGCTCTGCCTAAAGATTTTTGGGAAAAATGACCATATATGAATTTAATTACTCGACACACTTTTTTTCACTGGTTTTTAGAGAGACAGGGAGACTGAGAAACATCGATGTGAGAGAGAAGCATCACCTGGTTGCCTCCCCTGACCCCTACGTGGGATGGGAACTGGGGATCGAACCTGCAACTCAAGTACCATATTTTGCCATGTATAACATGCACATTTTTGCCCAAATTTTTGAGGGAAAAATAAGGATGCACATTATACATGGGTAGTATTAATTCCATGTCTATATACGTGTTTTAAATTATTTTATTTATGCTTAAGCATTAAAAGTATAGCTCTAGAAAGCCATCATAACCATATGCAAAATAATACCCTGGAATACAATAATTGGTTTTATATATAAATAAAAAAATAATTTAAAAATTAAAACAATAGATTTTTTCCCTGAAAGTTTGGGTCAAATATGTGGGTGCACATTATACATAGACACAAAATACAGTGTGTCCCTCAACCAGAAATTGAACCTGCAACCTGTCAGCTACAGGATGAGGCTCCGACCAACGGAGCCATACCAAGGTTGAGGACAATTACTCCACACATTTTTACAATGCTTTAGAGTTCATGAGTGCTTTAAGCCCTCTTTGTCCCTCATGGGCAGGGTTAGTATTCTTTTTCACCATTTCCAGAGGCCCTAATATTAGGCTGGACTATAGGAAATTGCTGCTTTATAGGGCAAAAATGGTCTAAGATTAGAAATTTCACATGGTTCAACCTACTCAAGTTCTACTGAAGTTTTTCCACAATTGCAAGCAACATTATTGAGATGGAACCAAAGTCTTTTGATTCCTCATCAGTCTAGGTCTCTCCCATTACTAAAAGAAGACTCTGGAAGCACATTTTTAAAATGGTATGTATCAATTTCTTACTGGGAATGCAAGGAGTCAAAGAGCTAAATCTCTCAAGCTGGACGGTGCTGTTTAAAAACCCCAATGGCCTGTTAAGGTTGACTCCTGACCTGAGGGTAACGGGATGCTAAAGAACACATTTACAGAACGCTTCCCACATGCAAAAATGCATCCCTAATTATTTCATCTGTTCTTCACAATAACCGTATGAGGTACATATCATGACTGTCAGTTTACACTTGAGCTGTCAGAGGCTCAGACAAGTTAAAGGTCTGACCCAAGGTCACACTGCTAGTAATCGGCAGGGCCAGCCAATGCAGGAGAAGCCAGAGCTGTCTAGCCAAAGTCTACCCTGATCATTAAAATCAAGCTGCCTCTCAGGAAGTTTTTTACAACTATCTCTATGTGGAGGAGGAAACCTGTGGCCAATAGGAATGAAACGACACGCCAAAGGTCTTAAGGTTTGCAAATAATTGAACAGGGATCCATGAGCTCCGGTCCCGTCCAGGGGCGGCCCTGTTCCTAGTTACAGTCAGGCAAGGGCAAAGGGTGGATTTTGAAGTGGAGGTAATGGAAGGAAGCTAACTGTTGGAGAGAGTGCAGCTGCCAGGCTAAGTTGGGGCGCTCACATGCCGGTGCATGGGCCTTCCGACCCTAGCCTTGGGTACCCCGCTTCTTGAGTCCGGAGTAGCGGGCTAGCGGGATGGGCGCGGCCCTGCTCCCGCCGCCAGGAACCCGTGAGCCGACGGATGTTCTTCCGCTTCCCTGTCCATGGACACGCCCGCGGCCGTTCTAGATTACTCCTCGCGCACACGCGCCCCTCCGCGCCCCGCTCTCTGTGCCTCACCCAGATTGTGCCGCCGCAGCCACCACGTCCCCTTCAATATCCACATCCGCCTCCTCAGCCGCCATGATGGGACGTGACCCTAGGCGTTCTCCCGAGAGATCCCGCGAGAGGTGGAAAGCCAGGGGGCGGGAGTGTACGCGTCACGGGGCGGAGTTGAAGCCCAGTCCAGTTCCTCCCGATAGTGAGCTTCCCGATCAGAGGTGTCTCCAGCGGTCTGGGGCTGGGTCCTCTTCCTTTGTTGAAGCTTAAAGACATTGGAAAGTTGTCCAGGCTTGAGCTTTGAAGAGCTTGTGCTCGTGGACAAATACTTGGCTCATCAAGCCTGTCATTTGTAAAATGAAAATAATAGTAAACAGCTTTCTGGAGTATGTTTTTAACTGTGAAGGTGGCTACTGTGAGGAACCCTTACCTGCTGGATTTTTTTTCCTTACCTTTTGTTTTTTTCGTTTTCTTTCTTTTGCCCTTCCTTTCTCCCGAACAACTATTTTAAAATTTAAAAAAACATTTAAGAATGTTTTTAACTTAAGATTCCATATTTTATTTTCTAGAGATATTTGCAAATTAAAAAATCACTCTCATGACCATTGATCTTCACAATAACCCGGTGAGGTAGGCCATACGGGTGTCAGAAGTTGAATTTCACAGATGGGAAAGTGAGGCTCAAAGCCGAAGTGACTGTCAAAGGATACACAGCAAGTCCAAAAAAAAGTCTGTGACCAGAATCCAGGTGTTTTGACATTATGGAGTGCTCACCTTCTACAAAGTATGCATTAGGAACTGTGAAAAATACACACCATTTCTCTCAAAGAATTTATGTCCTCCCAAGAAATTAGATATTGGTCTTCTGTATTCATCTACCTTAGCATCCATCACTCACAGTATTGTAACTGTTCACTTGCCTGTCTCCAGCACAAGACTAAATTCTTTAAGGACAAAGGCTGAATCTGCTGGTCTTTATACTACTAACATCTAGCATGGCGTCTGACACATAGTAGGTGCTCAATAAATATTAAACTGGTGAATGACTCACTCAATGGTATGAATATACTTCCCATACTATTCTCAATTTGTCCCATCTCACTATTGTTTGTGCTCAGGGCATAAGATTAACTGTACTATGAATGGGGTGGCAGAAAATGAAGAGAAAGCTGTATAACAAGGGAGATCCAGTGCTCAGGAACAAAATATTATTTCATCCTTAGGCCAACCTGGAGGGTGCACTTTCTGTTGTTAAAAGGCTTATCCAATGACCAGTCCCAATAGTAACTGGAATGCCTGCCACACAGTACATATTCCAAAATGTTTGTTGAGTTTAGCTTAAAGCCAAGTTTAGAAAGGTGTAAATGGCCAAATAGTCAAAGGAGACTGTAGAATAGAGATGCCTTTCATCTGATCTGGCTGATTCCCTCTGACCAGACTGGGATGGGAACACTGGTAGTACTGTCTGGAAATACATGATATCAAATGCCTCCTAGATCATAATACAAAATACTATGTGAACAGTAGCTCTTGCAACACTGCACTGAGCTTTCTGGCTTGGTGACAGGCATCAGTGGCACTAAATATCTACAGAAGGAAGAAAAAGCCTGCACAGAATTCAAATATGCCTCAAGACCTTTAGGGTAGTCTGATGCCTCCCCATACATAGCCCACATCATGCTCCTAGTTAGTTGGCTTTATGGGAAGCATGCACATAAGTGTGTAGGCTTGATCCGACCTGCCATGATAGGACTATAACCTCACAGTCAGGTGAACTCCTGCGGCCTGATCTATTTAAAATTTCCTGCAACCTAGCAACTTGTTTAAAGACCCATTTTCTCGCCAAGAAATTTGGAAGTGGAATGAAGAATTCAGAATTCATATTTCACAATTACTTATAATCTTATTGTACTTAGTACTGGGGAAACAATATTGAACAAGACAGACTCAGTCTCTGCCCTCAGTCTATCAAATATACAATTTCAAGATGAAATTGTATGTTTGATACAGGCTGTTGTGGGATCACAAAGGAGGGGCACTTGTTCCAGAATGAACCCTCTTCTGCACCACCTTTTTGAGGCTGATATTGATCAGTCAAAATTTGAGAGCACTGTTCTAGACTCTGGGGAATACAAATTAGAAATTCCTCTTACCTAAATTGGAGAGAGAAGCAAAGGGAAAACATTGGAAGGAGTAGTGCAATGCCCAGCACTCACAAAAGCCAGGAATAGTGCCTATTCCCACAGGCCAGAATGGAAAAACCTGACGATTCATGGGGTCCCACCGTGGTAACTCAGAAGGGTATTGTCTAAGTAGATTAGAATAATTGCCTCTAGGTGGAGCACTGCCCTGGTACTGCCTAACAATCTTAAAGACAGGATCTGGAAGAATAAAACTGTAGGTTAACTGCATCTCAACTTCCCTCTCCTCCCAAAAAAGCTTAAGAAGATTTATAGGCATACAAAAATACCCAGCACCGAACAAAACAAAATTCACAATGTTTGACACCCAATTACTAGGCATACAAAGAAGTAGGAAAATATGACCCATGATAAAGAAAATAAATAAATCAATTGAAACTGATCTAGTACTGACACAGATGTTAAAATTAGCACACTAAAACAGTTATTATAACTGTACTCTGTGTGTTCAGAAACTTAAGTAGAGAGATGGAAAATATAAAAGAATGAAACTGAATGTTTTACAATTAAAAATACGCTGGGTTGGATTAATGGAAATTTAGACATTGCAGAAGAAAGGATTTGTGAATTTAAACACATAACAAATTATTCAAAACAAAACACAAGGAGAAATTTAAAAAATTAATATGTAAACAAAACATCAATGATGTTCCAACTCCAAGCTTCATAATATAAGTGCAAATGGAGTTATGAGAAGCGGGGACTATGGGTCAGGACAGACATTTGAAGAAATAATAATTGAAAAAATTTCCAATTTTGAGGAAAATTATACACTTATAGATCCAAGAAAATCAAGGAACCCCAGACAGATGAAACATAAAGAAAACAGCACAAAGGCCTGTTATAATTGCTCAAGAACCACAGTGACAAAGAAAGAAACTCTTCAAGAATGAAGGCATGTTAGGTACAGAGGGAAAAGATAGGAATGACAACAAACTTCTTGTTGGAAACAGTGGAGGCAAGATGGTAAATCAACATCTTTAAATGACTGGAAGGAAAAAAAATCAGTCAAGTTAGATCACTGTATACCTAGTAAAAATATCTTTCAAAAATGAAAGCCACAAAAAAAAATTGAAAGCCACATTATGTCTTTTTATGACACAAAATCTGAAGGAAGTCATCATCGACCTATTTTTACTATGAGAATGTTAAAGGACACCCTTCAAGCACAGGGGAATGTCAAGTATGAATCCAGATCTGCATAAAAGAAGAAAGAGCATGTCAGATGGTAACTGCATTGTGAAAACATAAGGTTTTTCTGCAGTATTTAAATCTCTTTATATGAGAATCGACTGTTTAAACAAAAAGTGTAATAATGTTGTGTGAGCTTTATAACATGTATACAAGTTAAATGTATGGCAACAATAATATAAAGTCCAGAAATGGAGAAATCCAAGTATATTATTGTCAGATTATTATCATACACAAAGCAGTATTCTAATGTGTTATCACTGCGATGTATTAAATATGTATAGTATAAACCTTAAAGTAATCACTAAAACAACAAAACAAAGTTTGAATATTAACAATGAAAATGTATTCATATATTATTTATACTTTTTTAAAAAGGCAATAAAGAGAGGGTTGCTAACTTGCCAAAGAATATAGAACTAGGAATTGTTGGAGCAAGAATCCAAACGGAAGCTGGCTTCAAAGCTCCTGTTGTTTTCCCCACACCAGACTGTACCTCCAGCTTGTATATGTATCAAATACGAATGTGTTCAGTCCTTGGGGCTACAGATAATTGAACCTCAAAGACTGTAAATAAAAAACGTCAGACTGTCTTTAGAGTGATGTGGTGAATTCACCTCATCAAGGCAGAGGTAGCCAAGGAACCTTAAAGAAATAGAAGGACATTCAGGCCCAAATGAATTCACACATCTAAATTCACAGTAGCACATGCTGTCAGTACCTTTCCAAGCAATGTTCAAGAAGAAGGAAGCTGGAGTATTTCAGGTTTCCAGTTTTAGTGTGGATAAAAAAAAAGATGCTAATATTTTACACCCATTAGCCAGACCGTCTGTATGATAAGGTAGGTGCCATGAGAGAAGGGACTTTGTTTTTCATTGCTTTATTCTTACCGCCCGTAACAGTTCTGGCTGCATAGCAGGCACTCAACAAATGTTGTTGAATTAATGGTCACAAAAGGCCATGACTAATAGTGTGAAGCTGTTGCATTAGAAACATATTTAACTCTCCTTGTTCTGATTCCACACTCAGAAAGCATCCTTCGGATTTTGCGAATTGTATTCCCACAGAAATAAGAAAATGAATTGATCATACTGATGTGAGTTTTATAGACATGTGGCAATCACAATTCTCAGTGCAAAGGACAATTTGACAGACTGGTGGCCACCTCAGTCTGCAAGCCTTTCAGGTAGTGTGCGTCAGCTTCTTGGGGCCTGACCACTCTTGCACATTGAGAAGGCAAGCCAGTTTATCAACATTTAAATGTGGTCCAGGCAGTCTTCTACCTGTCCTGGGCAGTCTTCCCAGTAGCATACATCCTCACATCGCTCTTTGATAATTTTGTACAAAGTAACCAAATTTAACTGAGATAGCGCTACAATTTCATTTCAGGTGATCATATTTTTCCCATCAAATTGAACTTTTATATTTATTCCTAGTCCCCATTAAAATGTGATTACATATTTAAAAATACATAGCACAGACATAAGGAAGAACATTATGGTGCTATTCTTCCTGTAAACTGAATGAATGTCAGTGTTATAGGAAAATGAAGCGACCAGACACCGAGGGATTCTGGAGTACGAGGTTTATTATTTAATGTGCACAGGCCCAGAGGAGTAAGTCTCCAAATTCTGAGCCCCGAACAAAGGATTCTTGGGGAATATATAGATTAGGGGTCTTCCTGTGTACGTGACAAACGTGGGGTACAG